GCCTAGGCATGTTTTACCCCTCCCCTTTGTCACCGAGCTGTGTGACACAGCCGAGACGAAATTAAGTGCTGACCCGACCAATAAATGACTCTTAAACCCGTTGACATCAGCTCGCGGCAAACAGGTGATGGATTCCGAGAGTCGTCGCTCTGTTTTTCCCCCCCACTAAGAGCGCCCAGACTGCGAGAGACGCGGAGCGCCCGAGGTAAAACGTCCCTAGGCACATTTTACCGGGGGGTAAAACTGCCTAGGCACACTGTACCCCCTACCCTCGAGAATGGGGTGTAAAACATGCCTAGGCACATTTTCCCGGGGGGGTAAAACATGCCTAGGCCATTGTCCCCCCTACCCTCGAGGGTGGGGGGTAAAACATGCCTAGGCACTTTTTCCCGGGGGGGGAAAACGTGCCTAGGCACATATTCCGGGGGGGGGTAAACATCCTAGGCACATTGTACCCCCTACCCTCGAGGGGGGGGGTAAAAATGCCTAGGCACATTTTCCCGGGGGGGTAAAACATGCCTAGGTATGATGTACCGGGGGTAAAAAGCTCCAGGGGGGTATAACATACCGGTTACACCGGCACCGCCGGGGTGCTCGACCCTTCAGGGCCTTTCGGAGGAGGGGGCGGAGGAGCCTCCCCGGCCTAGGTCAAGGTCACCCTCGCCGTCCGTCTTATGTCCGTCGTTTTGTCATTGATATTTTATGGCTTAATTGAGACCGTAAAAGCGGCCCCTTTTCATACCCCTCCATATTTTCCCCCATCTCCTTCTTCTTCTTCTTCTTCTTCTTCTTCTTCTTCTTTTTGTTTACGCCCGGGGATCATCTCCTCTCTCCGTCCCGGTCCGCCCCGGCCCGCCCCGCGCAGACGCAGTGATTATCCCACAGACGGCAGTGATGATCCCATTTTGTCTCGTGTTCGCGTCCCCGTCCTCCGCCGCCCTTCTGTCTCTCTTTCTTTTTTTCTTTTCGTTCCGCCGCGTCTTTTGCGATCGGGCTTTTCTCTTTGGGAATCCCTTCGACAATGCCAGGAGCGAATCGGCAACTGTAGTAAAACAGGTAACCGTAGTAATACTTATTTTCTAGAAATTGCAACATGGAAAATATATACTTTGTTAAAAAATATCAGGGGACAAAGTTCTGCCACTTTGCAAATTTTAAAATATATCTTGTAGAAAATTTCGGAGAGCACAAACTGCCAAGGGGCACATTGAAATTAAAAGTAAATTAAGATTTCACGTTCCTGTGAGGCTACTTCGTGACTAAAAAAGTACAACTTAGGTTTATTTTGTAAAAACTGCTACTTAAAATACTTTGTAAAATACTCTTTGTGTTCGCCGTTCCTCCGGGTGAAAGGACTGGCTGCAGGGTATGGGGTGGTTTCCGGTCGGGTGAGGGAGTGGGCGGGGCGGGGCGGGCAGGGCGCGGCCTCCAGGGCGCCCTTCGCCGTGAACCTTGGCCTGACTCCTGCTGGAAGGCGATACAAGTTCAGGCCGACCGCGGCACTGGCGTGAGGGCCGTGAGGGGCGGGGAAAGGGTGGGGGCCCTTAAATGAGGCTGGCGGTTCGGGGCCGCGGTGCTGGGAGGGTGCCCCCCCCCCCTGCGGGAGTGCATCGGCCTAACCGCCCCCACCCACGCCACACCCCTCCTTTGCCACCTTCGCCGTTACAAATTTCTCCGGCCGAGGCTCGAACCGCGGCGGCGGCAAGTCGAAGGGTCGGTCGTCTTTCTTCCAGTGTCGCGTCGCCCCGCGGAAAGGACCGGCCGGTCCGGCGGAGGGTCCACCGAGCCTCGCACCGAGCGCTTTGCCCGCTGCTTCGCTGCTTCTCGTTGACACGCGCCGGAGACTCTTTGTTTCACTTTGCCGGGGTGAATACGGCCGAATCAGTTTATGAAAATGAGGGAGTTTGTTGTTGTTGTTTTTTTACTTTCTGTGGACCCCGCGCCGCTCCCTTACACACAAACATGCGCGCACGCACACACACACGCGCACACACACACGCGCGCACGCACACACACACACACACGGGGAGGGGGACATCCCGTGCACACATCCGTGGGCACTGCGGGGGGATCTTAACGGAGCGTGGCTTGTATAGAACGTTTCTTTTAAATGTCTTTTTGGCTCAGGGTAGAATGAAATCTCACTTAAGGGGGCCACCAGTGAAAATCGTAAATTTTTGGCCTCCTTTTTTTTTTTATCATATTTTTCTGCTATTTACCCCGAGTCGAAGCCGAAAACCCCAAACCTCAAAATTCCAATTATTTTGGCTTGGGCACATTTTTGAATTTCCCAAAAAGGGGTAATTTTTTTTGCATTTTTTACCTCAATTGTCAACGTTCAGGTGTTTCATTGAAGTCCAATCCCAAAAACCCTGGAACCATCAAAACGCAGTTGGAGAAAGGAATATTTTTGGGGCAAACCGAACTCAAAAATGTCAAAAATTGCGTCCGTAATGAGGAATAAAGCGAGTATACCGTAGTTTCACTTCAAACGTCGTTTTCTCGAAACGCCATTTTTGGACCTGGTGCCCACGATTGCGGGCGCAAAAATTGAGATAATTGAGTGGGTTTGCGGCAAAATGTTTCTTTAAAATTGTCGCTATCGTGTGAACCTCGGATATGGTCGTAGCATGTACAGGGCCTGAGCCACAAACACGGAAACGTGAAAAAAATGGTCAAAAAATGAGTTTCGTTTTTGCTTTCAAAAAAACATTTTAGGATGTTTTTCCGACATGTCCGTGGTTCACACGATAGCCACATGTGCCTGATGAGAAATTTTGAAAACCCCATGTTTCAGGCTCAATCGAGGGCTTCACAAATTTGGGCAAAGTGGAGCCGTGTCACCGAAAAATGAAAATGGCGCCCACCCCCCTTCCCGTCGCCCCCCCTTGCTGCCGTGTACTTTTTGGTTAAATTGACATATTTTATGCTTCAGAATAAAATTTCAACCCATTACCTTCGTTACTTTACTCAGAATAACGTTTTTACGAAGCCTCTGCATTTTCACTGGTGTGCCCCCTTAATTCCCGCTTGAATAAAATGGGCCAGGCCGGGGGGCACGTGTGTACACACACACACAAACATGCACGCTTGCGCGCACGCTCACCAATACACGGCGCACACACACACACACACACTGACACAGGCTGTGCTGGCTGCAGCCCCTCCAGCCGCGCTGCGTGGGGTGAATTATTTAGCAGCAATTGAGTGGCCTCTGGAAGTGCCAGCACAACGGCAATGCCCCCGCAGCCGGCCCCGCCCCGCCCCGCCCCGCCCCGCCCCGCCCCCCCCCGCCCCCCCGCCCCGCCCCGCCCCGCCCGACCGATTCCGCTCCGTCATTCCTTCCAGATTCCCCTTTTGACGGTGGTGGAGTAGCACCGCGGGTGGAGTGGCACCACTGGGTGAGCCCGCGATGAAACCGCGCGTCGCGTCGGCCAATCTGCTCGGCAAAAAACAAAACGAAAAGGTCGTGGGTTCGAGTACCCGTCCCGCCTGTCGTCCAATTTTTTTTTGTTGTTGTCGGTTTTTCTTGCTTTGTAATTTTTGATTTAGGGGGGATCGGTGCGGCGTCCTCTGCACCACTCGAACGAAAACAAAACGAGGGCCGCTGCGATCACTCGGTCCGAGCGCGAGGATCATGCGGTCCAGCGAGTGTGGCGGCTGATGCTTCGTGGCCGCCGAACCCGTCCAACCCGTCCAACCCGCCCCGCTGAGCCAACAAGCGGTTTGCTGACACAGCCACCCGCAAGTCGATTGTGGCGTCGGCGTGCTGGCCGTGCCGTCGGAGTGACCCGCTGGAGGGCCGACTTGCAAAGCCGTGGATCCAGGGTCGTGGAACCCACCTGAAAAGAAGGCAAAACGCAACACTTTTCTCCTGTAAAAGTTCCACTCCCCCTCCCCTTTCGGCCGACTCTGGATCCGCCACTGGACTTGCAGGAGGCGGAGTGCCGACGGCGGGGCCGGCCGAGGTCGAGGGCCCAAATGAGGCCTCGAGTGCTCGCTGCCGTCGCCGCCGTCGCCGCCCTCGCGGCAGCGCACTGGCGCCGTCGCCAGCCCCGCCGGCCCTCGGCTAGTCCTCAGTCGGCCGTTGAAAACCTGCGGTGGAAGCGTCGCTCTGTCTCTCTCGCACTGCCGTGGCTGGGGGAGAGAGACAGAGCGGCCGCGGTGGAACACGCGTCGATCGATGCGGAGTCGTTAGTCCGAGGAGGAAGCGGCATCGCCGACGGAATTCATTTTCGAGCCCATCGCCGTCACGTCAATACCCCGGGCACGCGGCCACGCCGGTGGGGTATCGCCGCCCCCGCGTTGTGAGTGCTGCAGCTAGACTGATTCCGAGAGTCGTTTTCGTCGCCCTGTCTCTCTCGCATGGGGCGTCCCGTAGGTGCGAGAGAGCGCGACGAAACGACTCTCGGCATCAGTCTACAGGCTAAGCCAAGCACTGCCGTGACGACTCCAGCGGCACGGCGGCCAAAATGCCTCCCGTCATCAAAGCAGCCCCCTGTTCCCTGTTTTTCTCTCCGTTGCTTGTCGCGTGTGTCGGCTCTGAAAGGACACGGAATGGTTCGAGTGTGTTGGTGTGTGTGCGTGCATGCGTGGGCCTGTCTGTGCAAGGCAAGGAAGACGCGGCGCTGCTTCGCGCGGCTCGGCGCGCCATGATGGCTCCTAAAAGGGGCACTCTGGGCGTGCCGGGCCGGGCGGGCTGGGCGGGCCGCCGGGCGTGCCGGCTGTTATCACAGTTATCAAACGGCGCCATGGAAAAGCGTTAAGGCGACTCGTTGTTCCCTCGCGACATGTCTGTTAACGGCTCTATCTCTGTCCGTGTGTGCGGGCCGGGGGTGCGTTTTATCATCCCTCACCATGAGCTGGCGGTGATAGGTCCTCGGTTCACGCGGAGCGATAAGCAGGAAAAAGAGTGCCGACGGGGTTTCGAACCCGAGAACCCCTTCTCCGGTGACTCGGTCGGTGCCGCCGCTCTAACCGCCCTCTTTCTCGTGTTGCAGGTCGGAGCTACGGTCGAGGATGCGGGCGGCATGAGACGTTCGCCCCCGCAGCCTCGCCAGCAACAGCAGCCCCAGTCGACGCCGCCGCCGCCAGCCCATGCTACGACCCCCTCCTCCTCAGCACCATGCCGACCCCCCTCTCTCCCCCCGCGGCCCGCTCCTGGGCCCTGTCCTGGAGCCGCCGAGGTGCGCTACCCGTTTGGCGTGCAGAACGACCTCGGCCAGGTCATCCTCCATGGCGCGGCCTGCATGGCGAAGGTAGGCCTCGACAGCAAATTGGAGCTCGTTTGGAATGGGCCGGGGCCCAGCGGTGCCGTATCGGACCGGTCCGCGGCCCGGTCGCATTACCGCACCCCCTACGCGGTCCCTGATGACGATTCGCAAGAGAAGTCCGGCAGCCTCGTCTCGAATTACTCGGCGCCATTCTCGCATCATCTGCCGCCCCGCCCCGCCCCGCCGTAATAACTGGCGCCGAGCGACTGGCGGCCCTGGCGAGCTCCCCGGCGCTCTTTGTCGGCCACGTCCTAAATGTCGAGCGGGAGGGGGTCAAGAAGGGTGACCAATTACAGAGAGCTTCCGTCAGGCTCAGCTGTGCGCGGCTGCGCCCGGCTGTGCCATGGCGGCATGCCTGTCGTGCCCCCGCCCCCCACCGCCGTGTCGTCGGTCCGCTGGCTCCCTCTCTGTCGTGCCCCCGCCCCCACCGCCGTGTCGTCGGTCCGCTGGCTCCTCTCTGTCGTGCCACCGCCCCCACCGCCGTGTCGTCGGTCCGCTGGCTCCCTCTCTGTCGTGCCACCGCCCCCCACCGCCGTGTCGTCGGTCCGCTGGCTCCCTCTCTGTCGTGCCACCGCCCCCCACCGCCGTGTCGTCGGTCCGCTGGCTCCCTCTCTGTCGTGCCACCGCCCCCCACCGCCGTGTCGTCGGTCCGCGGCTCCCTCTCTGTCGTGCCCCCGCCCCCCACCGCCGTGTCGTCGGTCGCTGGCTCCCTCTCTGTCGTGCCCCCGCCCCCACCGCCGTGTCGTCGGTCCGCTGGCTCCCTCTCTGTCGTGCCACCGCCCCCCACCGCCGTGTCGTCGGTCCGCTGGCTCCCTCTCTGTCGTGCCACCGCCCCCCACCGCCGTGTCGTCGGTCCGCTGGCTCCCTCTCGTCGTGCCACCGCCCCCCACCGCCGTGTCGTCGGTCCGCTGGCTCCCTCTCTGTCGTGCCACCGCCCCACCGCCGTGTCGTCGGTCCGCTGGCTCCCTCTTGTCGTGCCACCGCCCCCACCGCCGTGTCGTCGGTCCGCTGGCTCCCTCTCTGTCGTGCCACCGCCCCCCACCGCCGTGTCGTCGGTCCGCTGGCTCCCTCTCTGTCGCCGGAAGTGAGACAGAGACTCTAATGCTAAATGGTCACGACTGGCTATTGGGAGTAATGCCTTCATTTCTTACGCAGCATCCTGCCACGGCCCTGCCACGACCCCGCTCGGCTCGTTGTCTTCCCGTTCTTGTCTCTTTTTTTTTTGTGCTTTTTGTTTTATTTTTTTAGTCCAATCTTGCCCTTTTGTTTCGGATCCCGCCTTGATGTGCTTATTGTCTTCCTTCGAGCAAGGCACTGGCTCAATTTCCAGACAAGACGCGTCGGTGTCCTGCACTTATCAATATTTTTCACCCCAGCTCGCCCCCAGCCAACCTCGGAGAAATAATATTTTTCAGTGAAGGTCTGGTTGAGTTCGGTGCGGCCTAGTATTCACAACAATGCGCCTCCCCTCGCTAGACCGGCCAACTAATTGACAGCCCGACGAGCTGAGCCCCCGAAATCAACTCCAGGCCGGGCTGCTGGCGCTGCTGGCATGACCACCTGAGCTCTTCGCAGCCGGCGGTCCGCGGTTGGGTTCTGGACGGGGAGTCCGTGGAACTCGACGCACAGTGGGCCAGAAGACCGGCGCCAGCGGCCAAAACTCTACACGCGTTTTGAACCCTTGAGTCGCTAAATTGGTACTCGAAACGAACGTGTGACCCCACCAATGGATTTCTCGTTCGGAGAGCAATTCATTGGTGGGGTCACACGGTCGGTTCGAGGACAAAGCACCATGACAACTTCCTTGCTTTTTGCTATTTGCCCTAGCTGTCCCGCCTGCCCACCGCCAAGACGGTGGTCGTGTCGACAATGGTGAAAGTGAAAGTGAAAACCGGTCCCCCGGGACCCGGGATGGCCCACGTCGCGTGGACGCCCCTGGGGGGGAAGGCAAGGCCGGAGAGGTGATCCCCTATCGCCACCGCCTCGGGCAGCCCAGGGGTAACCGCCAACCGGGCAGCGCAGGGGCGGCCTTAGGCGAGTCTAAACGCGTCGATCCACTGGAACGTTGTCGGTTTGCGCCGCACACCAACGCCGTGGCCGCGTTCCCTGCTGTAGCGCATGAGATGCAGATGCACACCCGTCCGAACAAGTTTGTTCGAGGACCTGGGTTCGAGGGCTTGCTCGAGGACTTGCTCGAGGACTCGTCCCGTGCGCTTCTGCTGCCGCTTTCGAAATAAAATACAATTTAAATGACTCGGGTGAGGAAGCACGGAGGGGGCCTCCGCAGGACGAACCTGAGGGCCAATTTAGATGGCCTGCCTTATCGCAGAGGCTCTTCACAAAAAAAAGCAGCTGAAATAAAACTAAATAAAATTGGATCTTTTGGTCCGATTTTGCCTTTGACCGCCAGAGCCACGGCGTGGCCACGGCCATCGCGCTGCTCTGCGAGCCGCCACGGCCGCCACGGACGGCACGGAGGTTTAGCGAATCGACGGCCCCATTTTCTTAAAATGACCCGGAACTCGGTGGCGGGGGCGGCAGTGAGAGGGAGGGGAAATAAAAAGAATGAAAGAGACGTGTTTCTATCTGGAAGGAAAATATCGATTTTCTTTTTCTTCTAATTCCGGCCAATCGGATTAAGACAGCCGGCGAGGAGGAATACTGCTAGATTGACACAATCCATTGTGGCGGTTTTTTGTCTCGCGCCGAGTCGCCCTTGTCCGACCCTCGAGCCGTGCCTTGCAGCGCAAAACCGGCAAAACCGGTGCCGCGGCTCCGTCACGGCCCGTCACGCCGCGCCTCGTCACACCTTCGTCGCGCCCGCTCACGCCCAAGGTCCCCGCCACCCCGCCACGCACTTTTTGCTGGACCTGAACGGAAACTTTTTCCGCGTGTTAGCAAAACTCAGACTCGGCCCCGCCCGGCCGTCTCAACCGTGTTCGTTATCCATGCGATTTGTTATCTCTCTTTTCACTCTCTCTCTCTCTCTCTCTCTCTGCTCCCCTTCATACCGCCTCTCTTTCTCTCCCTCTCTCTCGCTCCATGCCGTAATAGCCTGCCACCGCCCTCACCCGCCTTATTCTACGGTATTGCCAAGTATTCATCATTCCCATCCGTTCTCTCTTTCTCTCCCTCTCCACCTCTCTCACTCTCTTCGCCCGCCTGTGGCTTCGCGCCGCGCCCTTCCTCCGCCCTTGGTAATATTCAACGGGTGCACTCACCTCCCCTGATGCATGCTGGATGCGTGTCGGCTGTCCCTTTCTTTCATCATGACGCTTCTCTTTCTCCTCATCGCCCCCTTGATGCTGGTGGGACGTCCGAGCCCCCTCCCCCCCCGCGAGCACGGCGAGCAACAGCAGGGGGCTACACTGTGGGAAAAAAATCACAGTAAATCCTGTATAGTGATTAGTACAGCTGTCACTGTAGTTCAGAGTACAGGATTTACTGTACTTTTATAACAGGATCTACTGTACTTTGTACGGGATTTACTGTACCACAGGAGTGGAGTACGGAATATCCTGTACCAGGTACAGTAGATACTGTAGCCAGCACGGTAAATCCTGTGTTCTGAACTACAGTAAATCCCGGCAAAAAAAATTAACGGGATTCACTGTGGTTTTTTCGCACAGTGTAGCCGAGTGCATTCGTTCCGGCCGTCCCGGCTCCGGCGTCGATTTCCGCCTTGACTCGCCGAGCCGTTTTCCGATAGCAGTCGGTTCACGTAATAAGTGAGAGCCATCCGGCGAGGAAATGAAGGGTAGCGGGTGCTCGTTATATTTATATTTTGAAAAATAGAAAAGGACTTTGCAAAAAAAAGTATTTCATTGACCAAGAAAAATAATTTAAACAGAAAGTTGCTCTCTAGAGTTCCTCTGGACGCCTTCGTCCGTAGTACAAAGAATTTCATCCCTGCCTTACAAACTGTTTAGCGCAATTCTAATGCGGATAACTATGTTTGTGGTATACAGACAACCTTATCCAGAACAGGTACTTTGTATTTACGGCTAAAGCCAGCAATCAACGGATAGACTCATTAACTCATTAGCTGCCGTAGTTCTACAAATTCAATAGCGAGCTCAGTGGGGATCATTAGTCTCGAACACGGACACATCTGTCTGCAATTAAAGAGGATCAATATTCTCCACACCTTTATGGATATGACTCATACATAAGAACTCCAGGGTGTGAATAAAAAGTAAATGACACTTCAAACATCGGTGGCTAGATGCAGACCTGCCTGCTGCCTGCCTGCCTGCCTGTCTGCCTGTCTGCCTGTCTGCCTGTCTGCCTGTCTGCCTGCTGCCTGTCTGCCTGTCTGCCTGTCTGCCTGTCTGTCTGTCTGTCTGCCTGTCTGCCTGCCTGCCTGTCTGCCTGCCCGTCTGCCTCACGGCCTGCCGCCACCTGATTGGCCTTCGTTTATTTAACCGGCGAGGCCCTGCCGCTTCGCCGAGGCCGCGTTGCCTGCCGCGTTGGCTAATTAGTGCGGCATAGACTATGGTGCCGACAGGCCGTCTCTGTCGCACTCACACCTTGGCGGGGGCGTGTGCGAGAGAGACAGAGCGGCGAAGCGACGCCTCGGACGGGCTCGGCTGACTGGACTAACTGCGCGATTCGCAGCGCGTCGGGGCGACACAAGTCTCGAGGAGACAAAATAAGCAGCAGGGCTTTTGCACCGCCGCGCACCTCGGTGCTCTCGAAAAGAGGGGAAAGGATGAGGGCGGGACTGCCGCCCGCTGCCGCCTGGGTGCGTCCGTCGTGGCGGCACGGTAGAGTCTGCCTGCTCCGCTCAGCTCCGCTGCGTCCGTGCGCGCCGCGTCTGCTGGAGCGCCGTGGCGGCAGGCAACACGGGCGCAGGCCAGCGGCCGGGTTGCCTATCCCTCGATCCGCAGGCGCCCAGTGTCATCTCGGCATGGCGCACAGTGGGCTAGAAGACCGGTGGAGGCGGTCTAAATCCTGGAAGCCTTTTGAGCTCCAGAGTCGCTAAATGGGACTCGAACCCAACGTGTGACCCCACCAATGGATTGCTCTCCGAACGAGGAATCCATTGGCGGGGTCACACGATCGGTTCGAGTCCCATTTAGCGACTCTGGAGCTCAAAACGCCTCCACCAGCCTTCTGGCCCACTGTGCAGCGCGACGCCAGGCCACTCATTGCGCTCCTACTTTCGCGGTGTACCTGTGGCCAACCAACCCGGACTCGCTACAGCGCAGATGCTATCTCGGCCGGTCGTTTTTGTCCCACCATGGCGCGCCAGGTGGGGGGGGGGGGGGGGGAGGGTCGGCTCGCATTGTGTTCTTGCGAGCGGGACTAGTTTGGCGTACAAGACGCTAAGGACGGGGATGGCCTGCTCCTAGTTGGCCAGCTTTTACTAGATCACACTGTCAAAAACGTTTTAACTAATAGAGTCCCACTGTGCAAGCCCAATAGGGACAAAAATCTCTCTTTGTACATACCCCGCACCACAAGGCGAAGATGATCAATCTCTCGTTTGATGGGACCTCTTTAGCAGTACACCTCGAAAACCTCACGATCTATCTGAGCCTTCCGAAGTAGCTTCATACAACAAAGTATTTTGAGCACCCTTAAAGCTAACAAAGAAAACTGTTCGAAATTTACGAACTGCAATGCGTTGAAGGACCCGCCGTACCGCCGCCAATTCCTGGCGAATTACGGGTCGGAAACGGGTCGGCATCGGGTCGGCCGCCAACGGGTCTGCAACGGATCTGCAACGGGTCGGCGCCCCGTGCACGTTGACAGCGCGTTCGTGCCGGCGCCCCGTTACTCTTTGCGCTAAATTATTATCCCAGCGCAATAGATTCCCAGACGAATTGCGCGAGATGCGACTAGGGAGGGGGGAGGGGTGGAATCCTCATCCCCCCGCCCCCTCCTCCTCCTTCTCGTGCACGTCAGCGTTATGTACAAGTCGATTCTTGTTGTTATCCTCGCCGCGTTAAAATTGATGTCCCTCGCGTGCGTTCCGTCTCCGTCTGCCGCCATGCCGGGCCGTGCTGGCGCGGGCCGCGGCGCCGGCGGTGCGAGCAGGACGCCAACAAGTGCGTCTGCTCTCACGCAGCCGAGCCGCCGCCGTGCCGCCGCCGTGCCGCCGCCGTGGCCATCGACCAGCGTCGCGTGCCCATCGCGTGCTGCACGCGTGCATTGCGTGCGACACTGCCCGCAGCACCGCCGTGTTTTACGCTATTGGATCAATTTGGGGCTCCATTGTGCCAAAGAAATGACCTGCTGTCAGAGCCGCAGCGCTCCAGAGCGGCTCAGAGCGGCTCCAGAGCCCCCGGACAAAGGCATCAGGCGGGTGTTGAAAGTCACTCGGGTTAATCAGGCAGGTGTTTGGCGCGTCCTTGACATTCGCTGTCGTGCTGCCACACTGGCGGCGCGCGGGGATTCGATGGGCCGCACTGCACAGGGGGCCAGAAGGCCGGTGGAAGCGGCCGAAACTCTAGACGCGTTTTGAGCTCCAGAGCCGCTAAACAGGACTCGAACGGAACTTATGTGACCCCACCAATGGATTCCTCGTCCGAAGAGGAATTCGTTGGTGGGGCCACACGTTTGATTCGAGTCCCATTTAGCGACTCTAGTGCTCAAAACGCGTCCGGGATTTTAACCGCTTCCACCGATCTTCCGGCCCACTGGGCACTGCGTTCATTGTTTTCCCGTCCCTCCACTGTATTATTGAGCTTCCGAAACAGATGGGGAAATCTCAGTCTGTCTATTTACGCGGCTGCAGTAGTAAAAGTTATGTTGCCGCCAGTGAGAGGGCTCTCGCACTCCTGCGAGGCAGAGAGGGGGGGGGGGAGCCATCGGCCTGAAAAATGCCGGGCTTAGGCGTTCCGTTCGAGTAACGCTGGGAGAGTGCGCCGAGCCGAGCCTGGCCGGGCTGCTTGCCCCGGGGAAATTAATATTATCGCGATCCGGTGCGGGCGGGGCGGGGCGGGGCGGGGCGGGCCGCCAAAATGTAGACTCTCATGCACCGCAGTGACACACGGCCGCTTAGCGAGACAAATCGCACGAATGCCTTGCGCTGATACAAGCAAATGGCTTCCTAAGTTGGGGGCGGGACAAAAAAAAATCAAAACATATTTTAATTAATTTTTTTTCCGTCCAGAACTTTTGGATTCTCTCTTCTTTTTTGCGCGATTCGCGTGATTCTTCGCAGCGGGTGCTGACCAGGCATTATTCGTCCTCGTTGCCTCGCGATTCGTGCAAGGGAACCCCGCGGAACCCCGCGGAACCCCGCGGAACCCCGCGGAACCCCGCGGAACCCCGCGGAACCCCGCGGAACCCCGCGGAACCCCGCGGAACCCCGCGGAACCCCGCGGAACCCCGAGGGAAGCGAAGTGACGAAAGGAGTTGGGGGACTCGGGGGACATCTGTCTGCATCCGAAAGCCGCCGCCATCGCCGCCGCCAACGGTTGACCTCTTAATCCTCAAATGAAGAAACTTGGAACGGTGTTCTGTTTAAGGCAACTTGGCCCCCTTCACTCCGATTTCATTAAGGCGACCGTCCTCCGCCCTCGGCGTGGCGGCACGGCACGGCACGGCACGGCGGCAAGTTTGTCCCGCAACTTCTTTTCGCTGATCGGGCCGGAATGGAGTAGTGACCGAAAACGCGGCCGCAGAGAGGGAGTTGTTGCACTGGGAAAAGGGGGAGAGGGCGCAGGGCGCTGCAGTCCCGCGGGAAGGGCCGAAGGACCAAGGACCGGGGGCCGGCCGGCTCCTACATCACGAGGATCCCGTTTCGGAAAGTTTTCACCCCGAACGCGTTTTCACTGGAATGTCTCTCTCTCTCTCTCTCTCTCTCTCTCTCTCTCTCTCTCTCTCTCTCTCTCTCTCTCTCTCTCCACGATGTTCCATATGCGTGGCGCAGACCAGCAGGCTGGTGTCAGCCAAACTGTTTGCGAAGGGGAAGAATTCGGCCGGCCTTGGCGGCGGGGCTGGGGCTGGCAGGAGGCGCCCTTGGTGGCCGTGCGGTGTGTCTCCTGTGGAGTGGGGGGGAGAGGTAGTGCCATAAGAGACACGGCATTGCCGGCCAGTGAATAAAGCTGCACCAAGATATAATAGTGGAGAAAAACAAATTCGGTACGTTTAATTTTCAGAGGTTAGTTACAATGCACCGCGTGTAGGGAGAATCTTCACCACAAGGCTTTTGAGAGTGTGGTCCGATGCCCCCTCGGCCCTCCACCTTTTCCCTCGCCGCGTGACGTCCCGATTGGCTTCGGGCCGGGCCAGGCCGGGCCAGGCGCACCTGGACGCTCTGTCTCTCTCGCACCCACGGAACGCCGAGAGTCGCGCCACAGAGACAGGGCGGCGAAATCGCCGGCAGCGGGAGGGAGTGCTATGCCGGGCACAGTGGGGTGGGGACGGCGGCGCGACGTCAACCCTTCAAAGTCGCTGCGTCTCACTCTTTTTGTGTTGTCTGTTTGCAGGAGGACTCGAGGCCTGCGTGGACTGTGGACCCGCCGCCGCGCTCTGTGCTGGGCCCCCACAGCCCCACTCACGGACACCCGCCGGGACACCCGCCGGGACACCCGCCGGGACACCCGCTGGCGCCGGGCAGAGGGTCCCCGCCCTTCACCCGGCTCCACCCGCGCCACGCCAGCCCCTCCAGGCAGTCGCTGCAGTCCGGCAGCCTGCAGTGCAGGTACGACCAAATCCCTTTTAACAGACATTTTTCAGGTACTGAGGGAGGGAGCAGCGTGTAATCGTGATTACGCGTTCCAGAGAAAAAGAAAGGAGTTTGCTGTGTTTCACCTCAGTCAACGTAAAAAAAAAATTGGCACGAAATTTTCTAGCTTTAAGTTGTTGCTTTCGCTGCCTTTGCTGGAACGAAAGCAAAACACACTCAAACGGATCCGCATTCATCGCCTCGAATTAAAAAGGGGGGAAATCCTTGACTGCGGTTGTATTCGAACCCGCGCCCTGAAAGGCCTGAAAGGCGCTGGTTGGCGGGGTCGGCGCTTGCATCCCTGCAGGTGCTGGGCCGGCATCGGAAGGGCGTCTGCATCAACACGTGGCTCGGCTAATTTTCCGGAAGTCTTCCTCGCGCGTTGCGATGCTACCAACTTTCCCCCATAAAACTGTCCATTTTCACCAAGTTTGGCGCTGAGTTATCCCTTACCGCGCTGGAGGCGCTGGGGCCCTCGGCTCCTGGGCCCGGGACCCCCCGCAGTGGCAGCGCGACTGGGGCCAACAGCTTTCGGTTTCAGCGCTGGCGGGCCAGTCAGCAACGATTTCGCTCTCTTGATGATGCACATTATGGCCGCCGAGCCGCCGGGCCGCCGCGATGGACTTTGCACAAGTTTGCGCCTCAGTTCGCACCTAGGAAAGGGCACAGGCCGAACACGTTGGAACACTTGTGTACGCGCGCGTGTTTTCGAATGTTTGTGTGTGTGTGTGTGTGTATATATGTGTGTGTGTGTGTGTGGAGGGGGGGGATTTGTGTGTGTGTGTCTGGGCGCATGCGCACTGGACGTGCATGCGGAATGCGAGCACTTTAATTACCCGCGAAGAGTGTTTTTGTACTCACAAATGTACGCGAGTTAAGAGATTGGCTTGGCGCCGCTTGGCGCGCACCGTGGCGGCGGCCTGGCCCGGCGCGCGTTTCGAAATAAACGATTCCGCAGACGGCGGGGAGGAAGGGGGGGGGGGGCGCAGCGCCAGGTTTCCTTCCACCCGAGTTTGCAGCCATGTTTTGCCTGGCACAACGCTCCTGACAAAACAGCCTGACCCCGCAGACGGGCGTGTCGGTCGAGGCGTGCTGGTGGAGGGGCGGGGCGGGGCGGGGCGGGGGCGGGGCGGGGGCGGGGCGGTTCCCTGCTGTCACTTGTCGTCCTGCGTCGCTTCACACCGCCAGGAATATTGCATTCCCCTTCGCCCGCGCGCGGCATGCTCCATTGTGCGCCGGGCGTGTTAAAAATGTCGGCGAACGGCGCGAGAAAAAGCGAGGGAAACCGAGGGAAGACCGCTTCCGCGCAAATGGCGCGTGCCTCCCCCCCGTAATAGATGGCATAACTCGCTCGCAAGCGTTGTTGCTTTGAGGAGTGCTCTGCCTGACCGCCGGGCCGGGCCGGCTCGGCTTCGCAGAAGGAAGGGAAGGGTTATCGGGCCGCGACGGCTTAAGTGCTCGGGCCAGTGCGTTGTTACCGCCAGTGCTTGCGAGTAGCGGCAGTACTGTACGGCTCGCGACGTCCGGCCAACAGCCATGGCACTGCGCCGAGCACTGCGCAGCTCAGCGCAGCCTCGATATGGAAATGAGAACACGGCAGCGTACATGAGCCCCCGCCTACCTTGCGCACCGCCTTGCACACCACTGCCTTGTGCCACCACCACCTTGCGCCACCGCCTTGCGCCACCACCGCCTTGCGCCACCACCTTGCGCCACCGCCTTGCGCACTACCGGCCAGGCCGAGCGGCCAGCAGCGGCGCCGCGACTGGAGCTCAGTTGCTGCTTAAAATGCAGGGGCTGTCGCGCGACCCCGTGTCCCAGGCCCAGGCCCAGGCTCCCAGGCCCAGGCCCAGCTGGCACGGCCAAGCCTGGCCTGCCCGGCCGAGGTCTAGGCTGCCTGTCTCATCAGCCAATTAGCGTGACGCGCGCAAACGGCCGAACGGGAAACGCAACGCAATCAGAAGGCCTGGCCATTTCGGCAGAAAGCCTCCCGCAGGACGACCAAGGCGGCAGGATGCAGACAGGAAAGTAGCTTCCCCTCAAGGTCGTGGCCGGGCTTCTCCGGGCAGCGAGTCGGGCAATGCTGCGCCTGGTCAAGATTGGCGGGCGAAACGAGCCTGCCAGGACCACCACCCACCACGCACCAGGACCGCCGGGACGACGGGGCTCTTGCGGCCCTCCACGGCGCGGGGGTGCAGGGAGGCGCGCGGGTCGCGCGTTGTCGCGACACGTGTCTGCGAAAGGGAGGGGGTAGAACGAGGCAACTTTGCAGACGCCTGCGGCCTGGACCCGTTGACAGTCCATGATGCCGTTTACCAGTGCTGGGTGCAGCAGGCTCGTATTTCACGACCCCAGGCTTGGCAGTGGGGCACCCACCAGTGGGCCAGCAGCGCCAGCAGGCACGCCGAGGCACGCCACCCACCCACAGCCGTCATCCCCCGCCCCCACCTCGTCCAGACCACGACTACTGAATCGGCAAGGGGTTCAGTATCATCAAGCTCCGCCATTTCAGGCGGCTGATCTGGCCGAGCCGTTTAAGATTCCGTCGGCGGTGCTCCGAGCCGCTTCCCCTCCGGCCCCGCCCCTTCACCCCTCCGCCCCGCCCAAGTCCGCCTTGCCCTGAATCGGTACTACCGACTGCGTGCCAGTCCCATTCACGCCTGCATCTAAAGGTTCATTCCCCTACCTCACTTTTATTACCATGACCTAGTGCAGCGGTTCTCAACCTTTTGCCGATTCGAGACCCAAAACCGCAGCTGAGAATTATTTTTCGTGTCGCGGTGGTGTCGCAAGAAGATCATACCAGTATTAATGGTGGAATAAAATCATGCCGCCATACATTTAAATAAACATTCTTATGTGCTTTCACGTTAGCGTTAGCTTTAACGGTTTTTTTTTTCGCATTGTTTTTCATATTTTTCATTGAACTTTTTATGTTTTAAGGAAGTTGCTTTCCTCAATTCAGCATCTTCGCCAAAAAATATTAAGATTTTATGGTTTTCGGCTGTACTATAATGCCGTCTGGATTCCGTTCCCGCGTGAATTTGTCGGACGCTTGCTTTGGCGGGTGTGGAGATGCGGCATCTGTGGCAGCCATCCATGACAGGCTGGCTGTGCTACGCCGCGCCACGCCCTGTCACGCTACGCCACGCCACCGAGACGGCCCATCAGTGAGGGATCAGCCCAGTGACTGCGAATAAGCGTTCAGCCCCGCGCTGTTCTGCGAATAGCGGCCCGTCGTGCTTCACCACCTGTCCTGATGGGGCGTTGTTCCTCTTTGTTCCTCCCGCCGTGGATTCTTTCCAATCACGGAGAGGCCACACAAGGGAGTCATTACTCTCCGAGCATGGCGGCGTGCGGCGGGCCGGCCTTCCCGAACTATGCTATCCCTCTCTCTCTCTCTCTCTCTCTCTCTCTCTCTCTCTCTCTCTCTCTCTCTCTCTCTCTCTCACGAGACATCGCGTAGGGGTGCGAGAGAAACGGAGGCAGCCCCCCTCGGCCACGCGGACGAGGAAGAGAGGCACTAATTAGTCCCTGATTACTGGTTGCGTACAAAAGGGACGTCCCAGCTGTCAAAGCGCGCCTGTCCTTGCCAAGGATGAGCAGGATACACCCCCTCAGGTTTTCACGGTGGAAAAATACGCCCCGAAAGCCGCACCAGTTTAGCAGCAACAGCAGGAGGAGGGAAAAAAGTCGTCTTTCTCTGCAATTTTTTTTTCGACACTGATAATGCGCGGGCTATTGCCGCGGGGCTGAGCTTGTCGCGGATCCTTTGGAGGAGGAGCGTGGCGTCGGGGCGCGCCCTCAGTTTCTCGGGCCGTATATCTACCGCTCCGATGTGTGTGTGTGTGAGAGAGAGAGAGAGAGAGAGAGAGAGAGAGAGAGAGAGAGAGAGAGAGAGAGAGAGAGAGAGTGCGCGCGCGCACCCTCGCGTGGGAGGATGTACTGCTGTGTTAGTGTGTGCCTCCACGTGTTGAAAAGAGCCAGGCATTTCGCCTCCGCCCTTCACATAAAAATGTCGCTCCTCTCACTCACACACACACACAGACACACACACACACACACACACACACTCACACACACGAGCACGCGCGCGCTCAGCTGCACGCCAAAGCGTGCGCCGTAACAGCTGCAGTAGCTATTTTCCCGGTATTTGAAGCCGAGTGTGCTACTTGCAATTCCCGGCGGGCGCGGAGGGACGGCTGCTTTGTCTCGCCGCGACACTTCGACCCCTGGTTCGACTCCCGCTATCATCTACGCGTTTTGTTTGTGTGTTCTTTTAAATTTTGTCTTTTATTTGCCATGAAAGAAACACAACAATGACGGTGTACTTGTCATGATCACAATAACGCTGCCAGAAGGGCGAAGGGACCCGCAGGGACCCAAAGGGACTCAAAGGGACCGGGGTGGCGTCGCATTCAAAGTTGTGTCAATACAGAGATTAATCCTATTGTAGTATCGTGATGGGGAAATATTGCTCTCGCTCGCACACCCCCACACGCACACTCAGACCCCTCCCCCCTTTTCCTCTCACACACACACACTCACACTCACACACAGCGATAAGCCTTTGGCTACATGAACTTGCCCCACTCGTGGGCACACATTCTTTTCACCCCCTCTATAGCAGACGCTTTTCACGGAATCTGATTGGATCCGAAATATGCAGCTTAGCGTGTGCGGGGGCGGTCCAGATAAAAAAACAAAAACAAGCATAACAGCAGCTTTTCACTTCCTTTCTCTGGCGGGGCGAGTGCCTCATATCCTGGCAGGCTTATCCTGGCAGGCATATCCTGGCAGGCATATCCTGGCAGGCATATCCTGGCAGGCATATCCTGGCAGGCATATCCTGGCAGGCATATCCTGGCAGGCATATCCTGGCAGGCATATCCTGGCAGGCATATCCTGGCAGGCATATCCTGGCCGGCATATCTTAGGCATGTCCTGGTAGGCATGTCCTGGCAGGCATATCTTAAAGGCATGTCCTGGTGGGCATGTCCTGGCAGGCATGTCCTAGTATGCATGTCCTGGCAGGCATGTCCTGACAGGCTCATCCTGGCAGGCATCCTGGCAGGCATACCCTCGCGAGATTTGAGGACGCCTCAGCTCGCCCCCAGCGCTCAGCCGGCCCGCCCGGGGGCTTGCCTGGTCTTGCCCGGGGGTTGATCCAGTTAGGGCGGCGTGTAGATATGGCCCTGTTAGGCTGGCAATCGAATTTCCCGCCACAACGAGAGGAACAAAAGGGGGCGTGGTGGCGGAACCAGGAAGCAGAGAAGCAAGCCGAGCGGACAGTGGCCGTGCTCTCTGGCGGCGCCAAAAAAACGCTATCAGCCTCGTTTGGTTGCAGTTGGGCGACTAAGCAAAGTTTTGATTCTCTTTTTGTTTTTGTTTGTTTGTTGTTTTTGAAACAAGTTTCAAGGCCGCGGTGCTGGATGCGCTCCGTGGGCTGCCGAATGGTGTGCACGGTGTGGCACGGCGTGGCACGGTGTGCTCGGTTGTCCCGCCGCAGACCCGGGCCGGAGTGCCGGTCCCCGAGGAGGGACCGTGGAGGGAACGCATTGTAACCTCTCCTTTCGTTCTTGTTTGTTCCAGCCTGGCGTCCTCGACTGCCGACCTGACTGCCGATGCCCTGCAACTAGAGAAAGCCATACGCGACAACGACACCGCCAAAGTAAAGAGGTTCTTGGATCTCCACCACGACAAGTTCCAGGTGAGTTTGGGGAGGTCTCCGCCGGGCGGCGTGCGCCATAAGTCCCCGCGAGTCCCCGCTAGCAGTGCCGCCGGTGGCCGATGCAGAGATTCAATCACCTTTAGCCGAACTTTCCGAGGCTACTGCTCCAAAACTAGCTGCGTTCGAAACGCATTCCCACATTTTTTGACGCGAGGTCGGCAACAAATAATCGCCAAAAATCCTTTACTAAAACGTCATCGTTTAAAATTTGCCCTAGGTCACCACCCCTAGGCTGGGCACCGCGAGCGCCTTGGGGTGCGCGACACGTGCAGTAGGAACAAGAACCCCCTCCACCGCGGGGACTCGCTTTTGTCGCACTTGCTTTATTGATTTTCCCGCCGTTTTCTTCGCCGCCTCCACGGCCTGCGCGGCCCGCTCGCACGCGTGATGCAGGCGCTGCAGGCGCTGCGGGCGTTTACAGTGGCGCGTGCGTGCGCCGCGTTGGCACGACTGGGTCAAGGTCACCAAGGGCGGCAGCGCGGCGGCAGCGCGGCGGCAGAGAGGCCCTTAAAAGCCCATTGTCGCAGCGAGCGCGGCCGACGCGGCTCGGAGTCGGAGATACTCCCTGCCTCACCGTAAAGTGCATTGTGGCGCGGGGTACGTCCCCCACCTTGCGCCGGCCGCGGCCACGCCGGCCACGCCTCGCACTAATACGAATCTGACTTTATAATGCGGCCGGCGCTTCCTTCCCGGACGCCGCATGGACGCAGCAGTGAGCGTGGCGGCGAGCGTGACGGCGAGCGTGGCGGCGAGCGTGCGGCGAGCGTGACGGCGAGCGTGGCGGCGAGCGTGGCGGCGAGCGTGACGGCGAGCGTGCGGCGAGCGTGCGGCGAGCGTGACGCGAGCGTGGCGGCGAGCGTGCGGCGACGTGACGGCGAGCGTCGGCGAGCTGCGGAGCGTGGCGGCGACGCGCGTGGACGCCGTTTTCTGGCGTGGGCAATACGGTGAGCCGGCCGACCCTTCCCTTCCCGGACTTCCCCCACAGGCCCTCCAGTCAGGCCTCGCCGTCCTCGTCGTCCTCGCCGTCCTCGTCGTCCCCGTCGTCCCCCGCACAGCAGCCAAATTGCATCTCGTTTCCAGGAAAGGCGGTCGCCGGCCCTGAGGTCGCCCGGTTGCCGCCCCCGCCCCGCCCCGCCCCGCCCCGCGCCGCCCCGCCGACGGATCGGCGCGACCGCTGCGCTGCGCGTTGCACTTATCGCCGCGGGCAAGCCGCGCCGCGGGGCGCTAAAAAAGAGAAGCCAACAATTATCCGACTGTGGCCCATGATCGTCATTAAAACTAAACGCCTGTGTAAGTGGGTCATTACCGGGAGTGGGCCGTGGGGCCGCCGGGCGCCGCGGCTGCAGTGGCGGCCGAAACAAGGCGGCCTCCGAAAGTGGGGCGTTGCGAAGCGAAAGTGGGTCACCCCGTCAAATCGGCAATTCGGCCGCCACACCCTCACTCTCACACACACGCGCACACACACACGCACACGCACACACACACACATACACACTCGCACACGCACACACACACAGGCACGGCGGCCGTGGGGTCAGCGGTCGGCGCGGGCAACGAATGGCTCTAAGGACGTGCCCAAGTGCATGCGCGAGGACCGGAGAGGACCGGCGAGGACGGGGTGGCGCGAGGGGCCCAAGTGGCGCAGTAGGCCCGAGTGTAGGGGCGCCTACTGACGGCCTGCCTGCCTGCCTGACGGTCCACTGCCTCCCCAATGATGGGACTCGTTAAAAAATTGCGCCAGGGAGAGGGGCGGGCGTGCTTCAGTTCCCTATCACCTGGAGTGGCGGGCTGGGGCGGGGCGGGGCGCGGCGGGGCGGGGCGGGCTTGGCCAACCCCAACGGGGCGCCCGCCGGGGACTCCGCGACCGCCAAGCCCATCTCAGTGTTGCCAACCGGAACCGGGAAAGAAAACAGAAAACATTTTGCTGCAGGATGCGAAATTCGTCTCACGCGTCGAGGAAGAAATCAAGACATTTTCTCATACTGCATTTTCGTAGAATTTTCTCATTAAAGTGGACTTGTTTGGAAGTGGCGTGGCGTGAGGGATTCTTTTCCCCCGTGGGGGTTTGCGCACTACTCTGTATATTTTCGTCACGGCTGTCCCTCGCATTTCTCCTCCTCTCTTTCCACGGGCACACTCCAACCGAGGTTTTATACCTCGAGTGGCTTGCCTGGTTACCTTTATACACTGCACCCCCTCCCTCCCTTCCCTACCTCTCTCTCTCTCCTCCCCGGCTCACATACGCTCACATACAGGGGCACGCGGGCGGGCATACACACATAAACACAGGCGCGGCTTACACACACACACACACAGACACTCACGTGCCCAGTAATGTTATTAGACACACTTCTGGCGCGTAAAAAGCCGGGCGTAATGCTCTGCCTGTAAATATTTCAAGGCGTGCCGCGCGTGCTGCGGCGTGCCGAGCCGCGCGATCTCCGCCCCGCGACGCCGCGACGCGCCCTATCCCAATCACCACGCCCCGCCTGGAGAGTGCCGTGGCATGGCGTGGCATGGCGTGGCGTGGCGGGAACCGAGCCTCTCGGCTGCTCTCGGCACGCATCAGCGCACCGGAAACCGGAAGAATGGCTCGGCGCCGTGCTCGACCAACCGAAATGCGCGGCTCCACAAAGTTCGGCCCTCGGCGCTGCCACCTGCGGGCTGGCCGCGCCGGCAGTGTGCCGGCAGTGCGGCGCGCCAGAGCGACTGACTGGCCGGCCAGTCCGCGCCGCGCCGCCGCGCTCCCAATGAGTGAGAGAGAGAGGGACGGTCTGTTTACTCAAAGTGGCGGAGTACACGAGCCGTCGTGTTCAGCAGACACCCCCAATGGGGCTGCCGAACGGCCGGGTAGCGACTCTATATCCCCGCCCCCTCCCCGCCCCCACCCCCGTCCCCGGCCCGCCCCCGGATCCACCGCACACAGGCCGACACAGGCCCGGCGTCTCTTTGGGTCAGCACTGCAGGGGGAGCGGAGCATAAATATTGAACAGCAGGGGCGGCGTGCGTAGTACACCACACACACACACACACACACACACACACACACACACACACACACACACACACACACACACACACACACCAACACCGGCTCGCGCGTGGAGTCACTTACATGCCAACACATATCACGCGTACATGCACATTGGCATTGCACATGCCGCCCCCGTGCTCCTGCACTGCCTGCACTGCCTGCACTCTGGATCGAGAGATTGCCGAACTAACTCCCCCACCCGGCCGCCGCCTCATTACTGCAATGCGCGCCACTGCCGACCGATTCCGCAGATTCATTTCGTCGCTCTGTCTCTGTCGCACTCCTTCGGGTGGGGGAGGGGGGAGACCCCGTGAGTGCGAGAGAGACAGTGTGTCGGAACGAGACACTGTGCAGTCTGCTGCGTCGTCGTCCGCGGCACTGCGGAGCGCCCGACGGAGCGAGGGTAGGCACTCCCGCCACGCAGCCGCGCGTCGAGGGCAGCCTACGCTGGCACCTGCAGGCGCGCCGAGGCTCAGCGCGCCTTTTTCCCCCCTCCCCTCCCCCTCCCCTCCCCCTCCCCTCTCCCTCTCCCTCCCCCACCCTGCAGCACAATTCCACGCCAACGAGTGACGCGCTGGTCCGCTCGCTGCCCCCGTGCGACGTGCGCCCCCTCCGCGTGTTTGGCAAACACGGTCGCCCCACGCCCGCCGGCCAACTCCCCGATGTTGCTTGTTGTTGTTGTTATCGTTGTTTTTTTTTGTCGTCGTCGTCGTCATGTCTGATCGTGTGACCGCCTCTTTTCCTCCGGCGCAGGTGAACCTCCATGGCAGCCTGCTGGACAAGTCGTCCTCCGACTCGCAGAGCCAAGATGTGGAGATCCTGCTGCGCAAGTCCAAGACCCTCCTGGACCGGTAAGTGATAAGTGCGGGCGCAGTGGGAAGGTTTCGTTGAAACACGCGGATTTTTAATCCTTCGAGTAAGAGAGTTCAGGTACTTATCAAGTGTCAAGGGCCTTTTGAAGGGCATAGTAGAGAGTTTAGGTGCGTACCTTTTTGAGGGTGTGAAAATAGAGGTGATCTGATAGACGTCTCTGGCGGCAGTCCACCACCACCATTCCCCCTTTTTTGTTGCCTTCCTGAGACTCTCGGAATGCAGTTGCCCCGAGAATCTGGTCATGCAGGGCGTGTTCGGCTCGCCGCTTCACTGTTTTCGGGGAATGCCACCTGTAGGCGAGGGCGCTACTTAGGCTGCAGTGGCGGCGCTCGGCGGTGCACGGCTCCAAGTTCGGGCAGATTCACCGCGAGGACCCGGCAGGGCGAGGCGGGGTCCTGGTTAATGGGCTGGACGGGGCAATGAGGCACGAAATGCTGCCGTGTTGGCAAGGCGTCGCAAGCATCGCGAGCCCTGCGTGCGAGGCGCGCCACAGTGGGCCAGAAGACCGGCGGAGGCGGCCGAAACTCCGGACGCGTTTTGAGCTTCCAGACTTGAACCGAACGTGTGACCCCACCAATGGATTCCTCGTTCGGAGAGTAATCCATTGGTGGGGTCACACGTTCGGTTCGAGTCGCTTTTAGCGACTCTGGAGCTCCGTCCGGGGTTTTGTCCGCCTCCACCGGTCTTCTGGCCCACTGCGCGAGTCATGCGAGGATCGAGGAGAGCAATGGCGGAGCGACACCGCCTCCTGCCGCTCCTCTCGTTTCCATTTTTAGGCACGAAGTAGCCTTATAGTATACCCAGGACTCAGCCGGCTCGAGATTTGATTTGTGTGGCCCTTTATGCATTTCGGAAGTTTTCTATACGATTTTAATGAGATTTTGCAGACTAGTAGAACTTTGAACGCTGATTCTGATGTTGAAATCTGGTCAAAAATTTGGTGGCCAATTTTGAGAAATTTGCTGTCAAAATCGCCGTTTCCATGGCAAAACTCGACTCGTCAAAGGAAAAAAAAGGGAGTGGGGGGAGCCGAGCCGGGGCGGACCAATAGCGGAGCTTCTTTTTGGGTCTGTACAGCTTACTCCAAAAGCTGAAAAAGCAACGTTCGAAATGAAAAATTTCTTTGACTGCAGGTAGACAAGATGCAACAATAGAATTGGTGCCGGTTCGAACGCAGTTTTTCGGGTAGAACTATCCAATAATACTTCTTGATTGGAGTGTTTTTGGACGCACTAGGACCACTTCGCTCCACCTCGCGACTTGCAGTGCTCATGTTCCTCGAACAAGACTCACCCGCGTTTCGAAACCATCCCTCCCGAGTTTATGAAGTTTGTCAAACCAACCGTCGTGGTGTTGATACGTTGTAAGGGAGAACTATTACACAGAATTGAAGAAAACATGACTAGAGAACCATAGCCTTTTGAAACAAGCCAAACAATTCAACGTCCACAACAATGGAGGGGCAGTTTTAATGCGCGACTGCTGGCGCTTTCAGCTTCGCGATTTTCGCAAGGGCGCAGACGCCGAGAAAGAAGTTGCCAACCCGAGAAAATTAATTTACTGCCTTCTTTCTGCTAAGAACATTTTAATCATGATGGACTTCAAAGATGTTCCATTGTCAGAACACTGCGGAATACATTAGCATTGGAATTTTTTGAATTTACCAGCATTTTGATTTCTATTTATTGTCAAGTTTAAATTTCGACGGATGGCACATCGACCACATTGGTACCACTGCCATTGGTAGTCCCCTGAGCCACAACTTCACAACACCACTTCTTTTACTTCTCCACACTCTTACAAAATAATCAAATTGACTTCGTGACTCCTAGGATTTCTTGAAATCGTATTTTTTTTTTCATTTTTTTTCTTCTTTCGCCTCCCGTGGAGGGCCGGCAATTAATATTCATAGACTCGAAGTAGATGCGATGTTGATTCGAAGCGGCAACTCGGCAGGCGGCAGCGCTCCCATTTGAATAAACCAGCGAAACTACGCGTACAAAATGGCGCCAACTTTGGATTAACAACGACGCGGTACCGGCGGCGCGACGGCCGAGACAGCAGCGCAGCGTCGCGTCCGGCCAATCGAAACTCGTCGCACGCAGCGGGGCAGCCAGGGCCAGCCGAGCCAGGGCCAGCCAGACGCGTCTGGTCGCGCCGCGCCGTGCCGTGCCGTGCCGCGCCGCCCTCAGGGAACGACTCGGGCCCGGCCGTCCTGCAGGGCCCAGGGCCCAGGGCAGACCGGAGCGGCCCAGGGCAGCGCGGGCCCGGCCCTACGCGCCCTTCCGCACCACAGACTCCGCTGCCCCGCTGACTGGACTGGGCCTAGTGATTTTATTTTCAGACACCACCACGCTCGCGAGCCGGGCCTCGAGCCTCCCACCGGCATTGGAAGTTTGTTGGCCTTTGTTGGCCCCGCTGTCGGGCTGTCCGCGTTCTCCCCACGACGGCCGGGCCGTCTCGGCTCGGGACGGAAACGCCCGGCACGCCCGAAACGCCTCATCGGTTCGCGCTGCATCGCGCTGCTTCGCGCTGCTTCGCGCTGCTTCGCGTTGCTTCGATTATTTTGCTGGAAACAAAAGATGGAGTCACGCGGACGCTGGGGAACGAGGCATTGCCGCGCCTCGGCCGCGCCTCGGCCGCACCGATCGCGGCGCCAACTTTCACCCCATTCAAAATAGCCCGGCAGCTCCACCCCGAGCGCCTTTCCCACACACACGAGCGGACCACCGCACCGTATTATTTTTATTATTTTCTCCCGTGCGCCGCCACACTGCCACGATGAGATATTGAATCCGTGACACGATGAGTCTGGCCTCCGCTCGCGCGGTCCCTGGCCGTCGTCGCCCGGGCCGGTGGGGCACATATTGGATATCGGGCCTTCGGTACCGTGCCACGCCTAGGTGGTCATATCTCCGTCCAGGAAGGGCCCGAAAGGGGATGTAGGGCCGCGGAGGCGGAGGATCTGGAGGTGGGGGCCATGGGAGCACGGCAGAGGACCTGGAGGTGGAGGCCATGGAGGTGGAGGCCGTGGAGGTGGAGGCCGTGGAGGTGGAGGCCGTGGAGGTGGAGGCCGTGGAGGTGGAGGCCGTGGAGGTAGACGCCGTGGAGGTGGAGGCTGTGGAGGTGGAGGCCGTGGAGGCGGAGGCCGTGGAGGTGGAGCCGTGGAGGTGGAGGCCGTGGGGGCGGAGGCCGTGGGGGCGGAGGCCGTGGAGGCGGAGGCCGTGGAGGCGGAGCGGGAGCGCCCTTGGCGGCCCTCCACGGCCAGGTGGAAGCCTTCCACTGGAAGGTCGCGGTCGGAATCCGGGCCTCAGAAGTCCAATCGAGCGGACCATTCCATCCAGCTCCGCAGTAAAAACGCACTGGTCCGGGCGCAACGCGGCGCAACGACCCACTAGGGCGAAACCAGCCAAACCCCATACGCCCCGAAAAGCATTTTGCAGAGTAGTATGCCGAAACGCGCGCCGCAGCCCGAGTAAGACACTAGAGCAGGCAGAGCGGGCTGGACCACTTCAAAAGGCATTTATTCATATTTTATATCGTCCATCAGCAGAGTGAAAAAAATTGGGGGGGGGGTCGGTGATGCCTCGTGACCCGGCGCGCCGTGGCGTGTGTGCCGTGGCGATGTAACGGGAACGGACCGCTGTAACGGAGTAGTGGGGAGCAGCGGGGCCCGGCCTCGACCGTGCGACAAATAGAGAACCGCTCCCTCAGGACAACAGACAAATCCCACTTATAAATCAGCCCTGCTCCCTTCCCGTCCCCCCTCTCCCGCAGCCAGTGAAGGCACTGGGAGGCACCAGCTCCGTTAGGGTTCGAGGCAGTTCGAGGTTTCAATCTTGAGCGAGGCCAAAACGGCTGTTTCTTTCCGGGACACTGCGGTTTGCCAGTGACGTCTCCTCGTCCTCCTTCCCCTCCTCTTTTCCTCTTCGTTCCGAATCCATATCGAGCGTGTGGTTGCCACATGACACTAAATAATCCAGGGACACCACGTACGTGTGTGTGTGTTCGCCGCGTTGCGACTTTTGCTACATGCAAGCCCTTTCAGCTCTCCCCCGTGGGAACGCTCTCACACAGGCACAGCTACCCTCTCTCTCTCTCTCTCTCTCTCTCTCTCTCTCTCTCTCTCTCTCTCTCTCTCTCTCTCTCTCTCTCTCTCTCTCTCTCTCACTCACTCACCCACTCACACACACACACACGCCGGCCAGTGACAGGCACGCACCTGGCGTCGGGGACCGCGAGGAAAGTGATGTTAGTCCTGCCCGGTGAAACGGGGCGTAATGTGAGCGGAAATGCGGCCTGGCGGCGGGGCTGCGGGGCTGGCGGGGCTGGCGGGCTGGGGCTGGCGGGGCGGTGGCGGGCTGGCGGGGCTGGCGGGCTGGCGGGCTGGCGGGCTGGCGGGGCTGGCGGGGCTGGCGGGGCTGGCGGGGCTGGCCGAGCTGGCGACGGATCGACTGATCCGCCGCGGTGACTCCGGAAACAGAAAGGTGTGAATCCGGGCCGTGAATAATGCAAAGGCCCAGAAGAAAAAACAACATAAAAACTTGAAAAGAGGAAAAAAATGACAAACAAAAGGCGCGGAATTTTAATAAATAAATTCGACAGCGCGGCGCCGCGGCGCGCGTTCTTCCTCTTTTTGCCGAGCGGGGCTGCCTCCAACGAGAGCTGCCTGAAGTCGCGCGCGCGACGTGCTGATTGTTGATTGGAGTGTACCTCTGGGGGTAAAAAATGCAGGGCAGTGGCGTAAGTGGAGCAGGAAGTCGGTCACACACAAAAAAAATAGAAATCGATTGACGGACCCGGAGTGACGAGTGAGGCACCAGGATAAAAACTCTGGCAGCGCTGGAAAACCGTGGCAACCTTTGAGGACCCGCTTTCAGTTGGTCATGCTTTAACAACTGCATTTGTTTAAATAGTCCGCCCCTTTCCCCCGGCGGGCGTGCCAAGGCGTGCCAAGGCGTGCTGCGGTCGGAGCCAGCCTTGCCGCCCTGCAGTCTTCTCTCTGCGTCCTTGCGTCCTTGTTTGGCGGTGTCGCCTCAAAGAAAGCAACGAGTTGAATCCCGCATGCCCCCGGGGCGTGGCAGGGCGAGGCAGGCCGAGGCAAAAAGACTGACTACTTGTCTTCGTCGAAGCTCTCTTCGTGTACGTGCCGCTCGTTCGCTTGCCTAGCCGTCTGTCCGTCCGTCTTCGTTCGTGTCAACACGCGCCTTCCCCTTATTTTTTCCCTCTGAAGCCGCAAATTTGCAAAGCTTGGTGTCTGAGACACAGCAATCACAAGACCACTCCCTAAGCCCCCCCAGAATCCCCCCGCTGTCCTGCGGCTCTGTCCCCTCAGCCGGTCCCTGCCCCACCCATTTTTTGGGAACGAGGCGGGAGTCTGAGCAGACAGGCGGGTCCCAAATTCCATACTAGAGTGGAGTGGCCAACTCCCTTTGGCCCTTATATAATTGGTAGGAATGAAGGTAGAAGGACGAGTGCGTCCGTTACAGCCTGCGGGCGGTGCGAAGCTCTAACGCCGGCACCGGGCCGGCACAGGTATGCGTCTCCCAACTTAAATGGGATGCGGGTTCCATGCGGGGCGGCAGCGCGAAGGCGGGCGAAGGCAGCAGTGGGGAAGGGGGGGGGGCGGCGAAAACACTGCGAGAGGCTGAAAGTTGCGGCCCGGAGCGTAGCGGCGTAGCGGCGTAGCGTGAGTTTGTTGAAAAGCGGCGGCGGCCTCGCGGGCTCGGACCCGCCACCGCCACCACCGCCCGGCGCGGACGCGGACGTCTCGAGACGGTGGTGGGGGAAGAATTCCTCTTCGTCTGTCTGTCCTCGTCTGGATCGGATTCCACAAACTGTGTTATCTCGGGGGCCCAGCCCAGCCGTCCCGCTGCGGCGCGGCCTGCCTCAACCCTCGCCGCCCCGCCAGCAGCACCGCGCATATGCGGTCGGGGCCGTAGAGATACACCCGCCCCTCCGCCCCGCCCTCCGCCCCGCCGCCCCACGGCTGGCGATAATCACCACCCAAGCCGCGCCCGGCCCGTGACGTCACGACGGCCCCAAGTCGTCGACGGCTTCCTTGTTTTGAGCGTGAATGTCGCTCCGAAGTCGCGGATCACCTTTATCGCCCGACTGCACTCTGCTCGCAGGCTGGAGCCCTCCTCGCCGTCCACGCCGTCGCCGCTGTCCCCGACGGCGCCGCTCATCTTCAGCAACGCGCTGCACGTGGCCGTGGACCAGGGCGCCGTGGACGTGACACGCCTCCTCCTCAAGTACGGCCTGGAGCCGAACCAGGGCGGCAGGCCGTCGTCGGCGTGCCCCAGGCTGTCGAGCCACTCGGACCAAGGCTTCTTCGTGGACCTGCCCTCTGCCTCCGTCTCAGGTCAGTCCCCTTGTCGGTTCGCACCCACGGCGGGAGCGTTTGACTGCGAGCGCCCTGTTTACCTTGCACTCGTCTTGGCTTGCCTCGCGCGCCTCGCGCCACCAGGTGGCAGCGGGCCGGACGCGAGCCGCTCGCCGTCGACAGGGACCACGAAGCTGGCGGCGGCCACACAGCCGCCCCCGCCGCCCACGCCCCACCCCCCGCGACGAGTATCGTGGGTGGCCACCCCGACCCCGCCCCTTGCCCCGCCCCTTGCCCCGCCCGCCCCCGGCAGCGGAGGCGGCGCCGCCCCCCTGCCGAGCCGGACGACGGCGCTGCGGCACGTGACCCGGCAGCGGTCGCTGTCCCTGGAGCATGACGCCGTGGACGGGGCGCGGCAGGGCGCGGTGGCGGGCGTCGTGGACCGGCGCTCCGTGTCGCTCAAGTCATCGCCTCTGCTGCGCGCCAAGCAGGGCGACAACGGCAGCGCCGTGGACCTGCACCCATGGACGTCGCCGCCCTCGCCGCCCGGCCGCAAGCCCAGCGTCGACGGCAAGGCGCTGGACGGCAAGGCGCTGGCCGCGGCCGGCACGGGCAGCAAGGTGCATCCCGAGAGGGGCATCTTCGCCGAGCTGCGCCGCAGCAGCGAGATCTTCAAGAGCATCCTGCTGAACCTGTCCATGAAGGACGCCGAGGCCGGCGCGGCGGGCGTCGACTCGCCCAGCAACGCCACGCCGCCGGAGACGCCTCAGGTACGCAGTGCTGCTCAGGGCAGAAAGGCCCACAAAATCTGCAACAAAACGCTGTCTTTTCATGATTAAATGACGAACTTCCGCAGGTGGACCTGGCCGGCCTCCTGGCGGCGCACGAGCGGCGTCGCCTCGCCTCGTATCGCCACGTGGACGAGTCCTCGGCCTCGTCCTCGATGTCCTCGTCGTCCTCCTCGCTGAGCTGCCGCTCGTCCTCGGACGACGAGTGCGAGGGCCTGGTCGGCCACCACCCGGGCCTGACGGGCCTGGGGCTGGGCATCGGCGCGCACGGCCACCCCGACGACGTGGTGCTGCACGCCAACCCCGCCATCGCCGTGGAGAAGCTGGGCGCGCTGGCGCACTACACCCGCCAGCACTTGTTCTCCTTGCCGGCGCTCTTCCTGGCCGTGGCGAGGGGCCACGCCGCGCTCGTGTACCTGCTGCTCAAGTACGGCGCCAACGTCGACTTCCAGGTGAGTCACCCGCGACCTGCCCTGTGTTGTTTTGTCGAGTGTTGAGGGGGCAGGGGGCCGAGGCGGTAGTCTGGACGGATGCTGACCTGTGAGTACTGTCAAGACCCAAGCTTACCGGCTACTCTTGAATAAGCAGTGCGTTTGTATGCAACCCTACACCATGGGCACATTGCCCTCACTCCAGGCGTCCCGTAGGTCTCGGCGGTTGCAGATTGACTTAAGGTTAGGTTAGGTTCGTTGTTGGTTCAGTTCGTTCGAAGCTTACCTGTCATCTAGCGTGACAACCCCCCTCCCCTTCTCCTCCATCTCCCTCAAACCGTAGGTCGGAGAAAAAAATGGCGATGCAAGAGAGGTAAGGTCGGATAAAAAGAGGTCGTACACATGATGTACCCCGCGCTACCCGTCTCGCTAATGTGTCGGTGCGCCGACCGAGGCGGCAGAGGGTCTTAACGAAATCATTCCCGCCGTGGCCAGGCCGTTGCGCACGGCGTTGCTAGCCATTCTCTCGCGTACGGCTCTCTCTGGTGCGGATCCGATGCAAAGTCTTACCGCCAAACAATGCCCTCCCCCCTCTCCCTCTCCGCTTATATCCCACCCTTTTCTGCTTCTCTTGCAAGTTGATCGAGTAAAGGGTAAGAGGTCCTTGGCTCGCGAGTAAACTCTCCTTGTTATTCAAATTCGTCTCTCGTCATCCATCACAACCTAGATTCCCCCCGCCCCCTGCCCCCACCCCTTTCTTTTCTCGGTCTTTGCCCCGGCCGTTTTACATACAGTGTGATCCGCGAGCCCCGCGCCGCGCCGCGCCGTCCTCAGCTCCACTTCATTTGCGACGGCGCGTCGCCGGCGCCTAAGTGCAGGGCACTCTGCGGAAAATGGGGCCGGAACGAATATTTGCAGGGGAAAAAAGCCGGGAGCTGCTGGGGGCGCGTATATACACGCAGACGTCATCCGCAAATGAAATAAGGAGAATGTCCGCGGCGCCTCGCCGAAGGTGCTCCGGCAGTGCGTAATAGCTGTTGATGAGGTTTTTAATCAGGATGGCTATGAATAAAACAGTGGCGCCTTTTCGGCTAGTTTCTTTTCGTTTATTCCCGCGCTGTGGAATTGAGGGGATTGTCGGCAGCGTGAGCAGCGTGCATGGCAGCTCGGCTCGGCCAGGCACGGCCGCGTGGCGCAACCCCGCGGGGGAAACCTCTCTGCTGCTGCATTTTTCAGAGGCACGACCTGGTCCTGGGCCCCTACCAGCTCGCCAAAGTGCAGGCCGGTGCGTGCCGACGCCGGCCTCGGCCGCCTCGGCCACGACGACAGTCAGACTGGCACTGGCGCCAGAAAGTCAAGAAATTTTTAAAGCTCGCGCCACTCTTGGCGGAACACACAAAGGGCCTTAAAAGTTGCAGCCTTAATTTGTAATGTTCCCGGGCCGCCTGCCTGTGCCTGTCCGGCTGTCTGTCTCCCTGCCTGTCTGCCTGCCAGCCCGCGTCCGCCAAACTTTGACGAATTAGCCCACGTTGAGGGCCGCGACGGCGACGGCCGGGAAGGCCGGGGACGGGGTTGGGTGGGGCGGGCGCACCGCACCGCGCCGCACGGCGCGCGGGCTCTTGCAAAATTTACGGGACTTGGCGGAGGTTATTCGCACCGTGCTGGGCTGGCTGGGCTGCGCTGCGCGGTGGCGGTGTCGGCCAGTGTGGGCGCGCTGCTTGCTAGCTGGTGCAAAGCGGGAGGGTGGCGGGGCGTTGGGTGCATTCGGTGACTACGAGTTCGACGCGGTGCTGCTCTTGCCGCAGGACGCGCACGGCAACACGCCGCTGCACCTGGCCGTGTGCCAGGCCGCCGTGCCCTGGGAGGTGGTGCTGGACCTGGTGGAGCGCGGCGCCCGCATCGCGCAGCCCAACAAGGAGGGCATCTCGCCGGCCGACCTGGCGCCCGCCGGCCTGCTGGCGCGCCTGCAGGACCAGATGCTGGCCGAGTGCTGGCTGGGCTTCCACAGCCACCACCACCAGGGCCACCACGGCCACCCGGGCCACCCGGGCGCGCCGTCGTCAGCCACCCCGCAGCCGCAGCCCCTGCAGCCGCAGGCCATCGGCGCCGACCCGCCCAGCACTGGCGCTTCGTCCATCTGCAGAGGCGACGGCCGCAGCGAACGAGAGTAAGTATGCACCAAATAACATTTCTCGAGGAGATTCAAAATCGCAACGATACTTTGCGTTACCCTGCATTGGCGCCAGTGCGGCGCAGCAAGGCCGAGCAAGGCCCTTCACAGGCTTGGCTGGCAAGGCAGCCAAATACGATTTGAGCCAGGCCCGAGGCCAGGGCAAAGGCGCCGTAAGCCAAAGGCGCCGTAGGCCAAAGGTGAGGAAAAGGGCTGCATTCTTGGCACGCATCCTGCAGCGCTGCCTTTGCCGTTTGTGCCTGGAGTCACCTTTCACAACGCTCTTTGCCCTGGAACCTGTTCACCACTACATTTCCCCAAAAAAAGAATGTTTTTTTTTCGAATGCCAAACTGCAGTTCTTTGCCCAAGCCCACACCGTAAGTGCGGCGCGTGACTGACTCCTTCCAGGTCTTCCAGTGCCAGGGGCTCGGGCACCAACACGGCGCGCATCCTGCGCAAGCTGCGGCCCGCCGCCTCCATCGCGGGCGAGAAGGAGAGGGAGCGCGAGCGCGAACGGGAGCGGGAGCGCGCCCACCGCGCCGAGTCCACGGAGGAGGCCTCGTCCGCCTCCGTGGAGCTCATGGCGCGCTCGTCCACCGGCTCCGTCCACAGCAGGGCCTCCATGGTGCAGCCCAGGACCAACAGCCCCGAGACCGCGCTGCCGCTGCGGGTGAGTGAGTGAGCGCGAGCGGACTTCAAGACCGCCCGGCGTGCAGGCAGGCCCGCCGCCGCGCCGTGCGGGCGTGTTGCCTGCCCGCCCCGCCGCAGGGGCGCGGGCAATGCAGGCGATGGCGCAGGGCGCAGGCGAGGGCGAATGCATGCTTGAACCTCCTTGACTCCCCGGAGAAGGTGGAGAAGGTCACCCCGCTGGATATGAGGCTTTCTGTACACATCCCCCACCTCCAGCGCCTCCAGTGCCTCCGGCCTTATCGACCTGCGACCTACTCATCCGCCGCGTAGTGCCACGTAGGACGAGGCGGGCATCCGGGTAAAAGTCACATAAAAAATACAAAAAATAATATTTTCCTAAAAAAACGTATCCTCTTGGCAGCGTGCAAACGATGTAGTCTTAATGAATGGGTTGACGCCGTGGCTGGCCGGGCTGGCTGGCGCAGCAGCGGCTCGCTGTAGCTTTGTGCGACGGCGCTGAGCAAAAAGACCGCGTAAATGCAATCCCCCCCCCTCCTACTTCCGGCCCAAACGGAGCTAGAAAGGAGGAAGGGGGCGGGGGGATTGCCGCGGCGCCTTCAGTGCGAATTACCTGCAAACACAGCACTTCCGGTCTACGTGTTGGCCCCGTCCTGCCTCCCTTGCACACACGCGGTGGGCAGGCGGACACACACACACACACACACCAATCTCCGCGTCCTTGTCCTCGCCTCGACCTGTGTAACCCCAATAGCCTCACGCTGCCCCTCGGCCCTCCCCCTCTTCGCCCCCGGGGGGTTCCTTCCTCGCGCCGTATAATGCCCCCTCCCAGACATGCCCCCGGACACGTCCCTGGCCACAGGGCCACAGGGCCACAGGGCCACAGGGCCACAGGGCCACAGGGCCACAGGGCCACGGCGCCACGGAGCCCGCAGCCGTGCGAGTACCTTTCTTTCCCCACCCCTTTGCCTTTATACGGCCCGTGCCGTCCATCGCGTCCTCAAAGGCGCGTGGCCGTGCCATCGTGCCGCCGTGCCGTCGTGCCGAGCAGCGCGTCGTGGCGAGCGCGTCGTTTTATGGTCGCCACGCGGCCTGTCCCCGCCTGCCGCGGCCACCTCGCCCCCGCACTGTGATTTCCCCTCCCACTCTCCCTCCGGTCCATTTAACCGGGTTTATTCGCCGGAATGGTATTAATTGGCGCTGCAAGGGGCGAGGCCTGGCCGCGGGCCTGGCCGGCCTGTCCGTGCGGTGTCGCTGGTGCCCCCGGTGTTCCTCTGCGGCGGCGCCACTCTGGCTTGTCCCGCGCCGTCCCGCGCCGTCCCGCTCAACTCGGCACTCACAGTCGACTCTCGATTCGATTCGATACTCCGAGTCACAGCGAGTCGCAGCCCCGCCGTCCCACGCCACTTTGTCGGCCGTGATTGAGTTAGTGTGTCCCCGCCCAGCGTGTGACACGCCACGCAGCGCCACGCAGCGCCACGCCTCTGTTTTCACCCCCCGCCCCGCCGCGCCCCGCCCCGCCGCGCCCCGCCCCGCCGCGCCCCGCCCGCCGCGCGCCCCGCCCCGCCCCGCCCCGCCGCGCCCCGCCCCGCCTCGCTCCCGGAGGCCCCGCAGTGGCGCCTTGGGCCATGAGGCCTGCCACGTGGTCCGCAGGGTGGCGGTGGCGGGGGTGCTGCCGTGCCATGCCGAGCCGTGCGGTGTGGTGCCTTGCGGTGCGGTTCGGTTCGGCCCTCTCGCCGCGGGGGGCAAGTTCCATCTGTGCCAGGCCGCCGGGCTGACGACATTACAGCCTGGAAACGCCGCGTGAAGCGTTTGGCTTGGCAGGGTGGCCAGGTGTGGGCACGGCACGGCACGGCACGGCACGGCACGGCACGGCGGCGCTGGGATTGGCTGGCCGGGCGGAGCCACGGCATCACAGCACCTTCCCTGCTCTGTTGCTTATTTGGGCTTGGCCGGGCTTGGCGCTGCTTTCGCGTTAAAAAAAATATGCACATCTCAGTTGGGATCCCCCGGGGCTGCCTGGCCTTGCTGGCCTTGCTGGGCTGCGCGGGGCGCAAGGCGGGGCGCAAGGCGGGGCGCAAGGCGGGGCGCCGCGCCGAGCGGAACAGGGGCTTAGCGCGGCGGAATGACTGCCGTCTCGACAATTTTCTCGCGTTTCCTCGGGCAAAACAATGTAAACAACCGTGGAAAAAACAAGAAAGAGATCCTCCCCGGAGACTGCATCGGAAGCCGGGACGCCGGGACGCCGGGGCGCCGGGAGCGACGTGGGCGCTAAGTGAGGCGGGCGTGGCGCACCTGGGGCACCCGGGGCAAGTGGAACGTTTTGCGGCCCGTTATCGCACGGGCCGGCACGGCCTCACAGCCTCGCTGGCGGCCGCGCCAGGATTTGGAACATTTTGGAACGGCGCAGCCGGGGGCAGCAGCAGTGCCGGCGTGTCGCCCCTTGCTCGGCCGTGGGTCCGCCCCCCCCCCCCCCCCCCCCCGTGGCACGGCGTGCCGTCACCCCGTCGCCGCCGTGTTCGCTCTGGCTGACTGCCCCTCCGTAGGCACGGAACGCTGGCGCGGTGATAACCAAATGCCCCAGGGAGGCCAGGGAGAGGGGCCGGACGGACAGGCGGACGGACAGACGGACGGGGGGCGCTTCTAGCTTGCCGCCCCCCCCCCCCCTGGCCCCGCCACGGTTCGGGAAAGGCGGTTGTGCAAGATTGCCTATTGTCCGCAGCAGATGCTGTACGTCCTAATGTTGCCTCACACAAAGCGTGCCGTGTGCACGCGTACAAACAGACTCACGCGCACACACACGCTCTCTCTCTCTCTCTCTCTCTCTCTCTCTCTCTCTCTCTCTCTCTCTCTCTCTCTCTCTCTCACACACACACACACACACAGCGAACAATAGCAGGAATAAATTATCTGTGCCGCGAGAATCAAGCGCAGCGCATCGGCAACGGGGCCGCAAGTTTGCCTAGTCGGCCCTCCGCGCGGTGCCGCAACGCCAACAACCAAATCTGTTTTCACGAAACTACGTTTTTTTCCAACCCAATAAGTTTGCACGGGAACGGGGAGCGGGGCGTGTCAAGGTGGCGGACGTGCCTTTGCCTATCCGGCGCACCAGAAATTATTGTGTCCCCCCCCCCCCCCCCCCCCGGCGATCCACCGCGATTCCGACGCCCCCGCGGAATGAAGCGCCGAACCCTTTTTGTTTCTTTTACACTCTTCTCATTTTTGTTGGTGTTGGGAAGGCAGATTTTTGTGGGCATCGTCCGGCCAGACATGCCGCCCGGCGACGCGCTCTCTTTATAACGAGAGGGGGTGGGGGAATCTGGGGGCAGCTTGAGCGGCTTGAGCTATGTCCGGGACAGGGGGGAGTCGCGGGGAATGCGATGGGGAGGGGGGGAGGGGAACGGACTGGCATTGCTGGAGAACCCTCTCCGGAAGATTGTCGGCCCGATCAAAATACGCCACGCATTGTGTATTACCGCCGGGACAGAGCGGGCGAGGCAAAACGCGGGATGGAAACGAAAACGAAACACAGACTCTCGGGTCCGCCTTGCGGGAGAGACTCGGAGAGACTTGAGACCCGCCCTGAGAGGCTCGATCCTCTCCTCATCCCGGCCGTCGGGCACCGTCGGGCCGTCAGGAGAAACAGCATTATTCCGTGCCCGTTCGCTTTGACCGCCCCGCCCCGCCCGCTCGACGGGCTGGCTGGCTGAGAGGCTGGCTGGCGGGTGGCTGGCTGGCTGGCTGGCTGGCTGGCTGGCTGGCTGGCTGGCCGCCGCTGCGCTGAGTGCAGTCGGGAAGTATTCCAAGGAATATGGTACTGGGGCGTTTGGCGGCGGTTTCGGCCTTCGGGTCGGACGACGGCGCCCGGCGCCAAACAACAAGCTGGGGGTCACGACGGCGTGGAAGCTCGCGGTCGCGTCGCCGTCCCGGTCGCTGCGCTCGGCTGCGCCGCCGCCGCCTCGCTGTCGCTCCCGCACTCATGGCAGGGGTGCGGGAGCGACAGAGCGACGACATCATCCTGCCCGCAGGCTTCTTGTTCCACCGCCACCGTGCGCGGGCGCGACCGGCGCGACCGGCGGGACGCCTTTCACGCGTGCGAACGCCGAACACGGCCGCGATGGAAAACATGTCTCTCTTTCTCTCTCTCTGTTTCGTAAAGCATGATTGATCGGCCGCTGAGTACACCGGGCCCGCTTTATGCGTTTTCTGGGGCCTGATTGATAACCTCGCAAAGGGGGGGGGGGGGGGGGGGTAGACTCAATCCCCACATTATCCCAAAGAAAGTTAGGTTAGGTTGCCAAGTTGGAGGCGAACGCGTCCGCGCCGCCGCGCCGTCCCCGCAGCGTCCTACAAAGGAGGGCCCTCAAAGAGTGTGCCTGAGACTTAGCGAGCGGATCAAGGCAAAGGAGAAAGAGGGACTTTAAACAGTGTTCCATTCCCTAATCGATTATTCATAAGCCGTTCTTTCTTTGTTTTTGTTGTTTGTTTGTGTGTTTTCTTTTTTTTTCGGCGGGGGAGGGGGAACTTTTTTCGGGCGGCATGCGGGGTTGGTCCGGAGCGGGGCGGGTGCATGCTGGTGTCGGCCAGGGCGGCCAGGAGCACGGCCTTGATGACAGCGCGTTGGTTTTTGTTCGGCAGGACGGCGACCAGGCCCTGGGGGGCGCGGCCAGAGCGGAGTCCCGGCGCAAGCTCAAGAAGAGGATGTGGCGAAGCTCGAAGCCCGCAGTGTGCGTCGCAGGTACGGCACTTTGTCTCCAGGTCGCCTTCGTGCACTGTAAGAAGCTCCCTGTGACTGTGTTGCTTCTCGTTCCGCAGAGCGCACGCCCACCATCGACGCCGAGCGTAGCTTCCAGGTCCTGCTGCAGATGGCGCGCAACCCGGAGTGCATCGGCTACCTGCTGCGCGGGCTGCTCGCCAACATCCCCGCCCTGCTGCGCCTGCTGCAGACCCTCAACGACCCACCGCTCCACCGAAACATGGCGGGGCTTCTGCACACCGTCCTTAAGGTGCGTAGTGCGCTCACGGTCATGGCATGGCTGCCGCCTGCCCGCCCAGTGGCCTGCACGGTGAAAGTGCCACCTTGAAATCCAGCCAAGGGGCTTGAACGAATTTTCAAAGTTGTTCAATGCGGAAAATCGACTTGAACGAACCCCTTGGAGGGAACAAAGGCACCCGAGGCGGCACTCTCATCGCGGGTCGCGGGTTTCAAATCTCTTTCAATTGATGAGTGCTGTTGTCGCGCAGACTGCCCTGGACACGTACGGCACGGCCAGGGGGGAGCGGGCCGGGTCGCCCACCAGCGCGCACGCGCACGCACACACGACGCCGGGCCAGGCAGGCCAGGGTCCGGAGGGGCAGGTCCCCACCCTGGGCCTGCTGCCGGAGCAGCGGGAGCTGAGCGCCGCGCTGTGCCTGCTGCTGCGCGTGTGCCTCAGCCTGATCCACGGCGTGCACGACCTGCAGTACACCGCCATGGTGACCATCAACAAGGTGATCGACGCGTGCGTCGTGCACCGCCTCACGCACGTCAAGGTGCGCACCGGCACCGCGCTGCAGCACCCCTGCAACCAGCGGTGAGTGCCAGTCATCTTTACTCGGAGAAGCGGGGGAGGCACGGCGGGCCAGAAGACCGGTGGAGGCGGTTGAAATCCCGGACGCGTTTTGAGCTCCAGAGTCGCTCAATGGGACTCGAACCGAACGTGTGACCCCACCAATGTGCTTTGTGAAAGAGGAATCCATTGGGGGGTCACACGCGCGGCTTGAGTCCCATTTAGCGGATTCTGGAGCTCGAAACGTGTCCGAGATTTCGACCGCCTCCACCGGCCTTCTGGCCCGCTGTGGCAGGGGAAATTTCTTTTCACGTGTACTGCTACTGAGCTACTGCTCCGGCCTGCTCTGCGACCTTGCTAGCCTAGTCTTGCCGGCAGCCTCCACGGCCATGGCACGGCCATGGCCCCTCTGCGGTTCCTCTCCTCGGTTCCTCCCAATCCCGCCAGTGGCGCCACCTGCCACCCCGAGCGTGAGAGCGTGAGCCGCGTGAGCATTGTTGGCCATTTTGGCGCGCGAATCTGGGTCACGTTTCGGAGGGCAACAGGCTGGCCGATGCGATTGCTTGTTGGCGCCGCTGCCTGGCCTGGCCTCGCCACCAGCCTAGGCCTGGAGGGGCCGGCCCCAGTTTGGCTTTTGCCCCCAGGGGGACGGGGCGGGGCCAGGACAGGGCCAAGGAGCATGGTGCCGTCCCCCCGGAATACTTTTTTTCTTGTCTCCGATAAACGCGGAGCCATGAAACTTTATTTACTTTCCATATCCATAACCCGATCCCGCTGAGGCACATGGTCTATCTTGTGTAGCCTCTGTGCTCCCAGGGGATCTCCCGGCGGGAGACTCCGCGGCGGCGCGGCCCGGCGCAGCTAGGCGCAGCCCAACACGGCGTCGTTGCACGCCCCGCCCCGCCCCGCCCCGCCCCGCCCCGCCCCACGGGAACGCCTCTCGCTCGCACCCCTATACTCATCTTGCCGATTGAAAATATCCGCCGGACAACTCGGGACGGGCCTGCGGCTCGTGGGCTGGGGCCTGTGGGCTGGGGCCTGTGGGCTGGGGCCGACCTGCAGCACAGCCCGAGGAGGAACCTGGGGGAACCGCCTTGCACCGAGTGTGTGTGTGTGTGGGTGGGGGGGGGGGGGGAGCCAGGCCCAGCAGCGCCAGGCCTGCCGTGCCGGAAATCGGATTAGGGTCTGTAACAGGCGTTATTGTCACGATTGCTGCCAGTGCCTGGTGGGCCTGCTGGGCCTGCTGGCTTGGTGGCCTGGGGCCTGGAGGGCCTCCGCTACGTGATGCCTGCGGGGCCGGGCTTATTGGCAGACAGCGGGCAGCACACGGCACGGCCACGCCAGGCCACGCCCACGGCACGCCACGGCCAGGAGCACACGGAGTGCAGCAGCTAGGTGCCTCGCCCGGAGCGCCCGGAGCCAAGCCGCCGTGCGGTTGTCTGTCTGCCGACCGACCAAGGCCAAGGCCTAGCTGAGGCCGCCTCTATCGCACCCTAGTCCAGCCCCACACCCCGCTTTGGGGCTCGACCACCGCCACGGCCACCGCCACGACGGCCCCCCGCATTCCCGCTCTGGGTCGTATCGGCCCGCCAAAAATTCGAACTCTGGCGAGCGCCGTCTCTGTGCTGGGCGTGCTGGGCGTGCTGGGCGTGCTGGCAGTGCTGGGCGTGCTGGCCGTGCTGGCCGTGCTGGCAGTGCGACACGTTTCCCGGCCCAGACTGCCCAGACTGCCCAGACTGGAGCGGGCAGCGCCCCCAGGAATGCGAGTCGGACTGCGGAAAAGGCGGGCGGGGCTGCGGGGGTCCCTTGAGGGACTCGAGATCCGGCGGGGGTTTCGAAATTAGAAGCGGCGGGATAGGTAAGTGAGTCGGGTGCGCTTCGGAATTGGAAACGGGGTCGAATGGGGCGGCCGGGGCGTTCTAATGGCGCGGTGCCCTGGCGGTGCCCCGGTGCGCCTCGGCCCGCCTCGGCCGATACCCACGTCGCGGCGCAAGGCGCGCTGGGGGTGGGGGCTCGGGACCTCATAAAGGCTTCGGCCGGGACAATAGAAACAAATCCGAAGGGAGGGGCACCACTGCCGCTATCTCCCGGCAAGACAGCCCGCCGTCTCTGTCCAACCCACATTCTGGACAGGGCGGCGGCGCGCGGACGGGGTTGACCCCTGCGGAGCCTTCTTTGCCTCCCCGGCAGCCTCCCTTGTCCGCCTCAGCTCTGTCCGGAGCACATCTTCCTTCTCTTTGTGCCAAGGAGCGCCCCCCGCCCCCTCCCCTCCTGCACAGGCGCGCTCCCGTAATCCCCCCTTCTCCTCCCCCGGCCCCGGGGAACGTGGGTTATCAATGTTGAAGGGAGCTGTCTGCCTTCATTAGGCAGCCCTCCCAACCTGCTACAACCAGCCCCCTCGCCCGCCTCGGCCCGCCCCTTCCCCTTTCCCTGGGCGCGTTTAGTACTGCTGCCCGCCTTCCAGCGAGCCTTGACGATTATCAAACTTTTAAGCGTCCCCATCTCGTGGCCTGGCCACCGCGTGCCCCGTGCCGCGCTCCCCGCTCCCCGCGGCAGGCCCAGGGCAGCCCGGGGTCGGGGCCAGAGGCCAGAGGGCAGCACTGTCGCTGCTGGTTCCCTCAAATTAAAACACCGCGCGGAGTGCGCCGCCGAGCGCCGAGCGGCCACGGCGGCAACGACGGCCGAGGGGCAGGCTTGCGGGTTTGCGGGTTCGCCTCGGCTTCCCCGAGATGCTCCCGCCTGCTTACCTGGCCTCGTCCTGGCGTGCTGCCGAACTCGCTGGAGCCGCGGCACCCTCCTCAGCCCTCCCCCCGGCCGCGTTATCCTCAAGTTTGTCCTTCTTTTTGTCTTGGCCTCCCCCTTCCCTTTGACCACCATTGCTCTTGAACTCGTTATTGCAAAGTTGTGTCCCCGCCACCCCTCCGCCCCTCGCCTTCATTCACGTGACGAAGGAGGAGCGAGAGAGGGAGGAAGCATCAAAACAAACTTCCTCAGGCATCTTGTTTTGACGTGTGTCCTCGCCTGACAGAGCAAAGGCAGCAAGGTATTGCCTCGGAGACACACAGACAGACAGGCGGACAGTCGCACAGACGGGCCTGCCGAAGGTACACAAGGGGGTGAGGGAGTAGAGGTCTCTCTCTCTCTCTCTCTCTCTCTCTCTCTCTCTCTCTCTCTCTCTCTCTCTCTCTCTCTCTCTCTCTCTCTCTCTCTCTCTGTCGCGTGCGAGTGTGCGCACGCAAGTGTGTACGTCTGTGTGTTTGTGTGCATGTGTGTGTGAGTGAGTGAGTGTGTTTTAGTGAAGTAGAAAAAAGGAGCGGGAGCAAGATTCGCCCTAAGCCCCCTTCCAGCCCCGACTCGTATGAGGGTGCAGCCAAGCCCATTTTCTTTACTTTTCATCCCCGACGCGCCGTGGCGGAGGCCGTGGCTTGCAGTGCAGTGGCGGTGGCCGCGCCGCGTCGAGCCGCTGGCAGCGCAGCAGTCCACTGGATTCAGAGAGCGCGACAGAGTCGACAGCGCCTGCAAGCCGAAAGCGGCTGAAAGCTGAGAGCGGCCGAATGAGCTGAGCGGGTCAGAATGACATGAATTAGAAAAGGTTTTAAACGTGTAAAGGGCGTGGCGCGGCGGCGGCGGTGGTGGATTAAAATTTGAATGGATGGCGTCGACAACGGCCGCCTCGCGCTGCCCCCACTGCCCCCCTTTCACTCGCCGCCCCCACGTGACGCCGAGGCTCACGGCACACGTGCTACATTGTCTGCAGCCCGCGGGGCGCGGGGCGCGCGGCGCTCGGGTGAGTCGGGCCGGGACTGGCGCGGGGCGGCTTAGGTAGAGCAGGCGGGCGCGAAGCGGGCGGAGCGGGCGAAGTAAGAAAGGAAGTGATGGAAAGGGCCGGCACTGCCAGCACGGGGAAAGTGGCAGAATTAAACATCATGTTTTCCTTCTCCTTCTCCCCCGACGGCGTGCGCGGCGTGCGCGCCGGCCGTGTTCGATATGCCGCGGGAATTTCGACTGCGGCGGAAAATTCTCGCTCGCTCACACGAACTTTATTGTTCGTGTATCCGTGTAGAATCAGAATTGGAGGGAAGGAAACACGGCCGGGGGATAGACGGAGGGGGGGGGGCAGGTTGAAGGTGTTGCTGCTGCCGTCTATTGCTTGGTCCATACAGACAAGCCAAGCCCCGTGTATGCAAAGTGCTGGGAAGGAGGGGGAGGGGGGAACAAGTGCCACCCGCCTCGCTAAACACGTGGTGCAGTTGTTGCAGCGCGGATCGAATCGAAGCGACACAGCCTTGACGGGCGTGCCGGGCGTGCCGGGCGTGCTCGCCTTGCCGGGCTGAGTGCTCCTGACGACAGTATAAAAGCCCCGACCGCCCCGACCGCCCACGGCGTCGTCGCCACTAACCTGTTTTCTGAGATAAAGCGTGTGCACCCGGAAACTTGGCGGAGTGGAGCGAAGAGATTCAAAGCCACGCGAAGGTCTGTCGCGGCCTGTTAACGCCGTGACGGTGGTGACGCTGACGTTGTTCTATGTTGCTTGCAGGGTGGACAAGGAGGACGCCGCGGGGGACGCCGCCGCCTCGTCGCACGCCGCCACGTCCGCGTCGACGGCGACCCACGCCGCCAAGGACGCGGCGTCGCACCCCGCGGCCTCGGCCTCCATCTCGGCGTCGGCGTGCAGGGGCGCCAACCGGCTGCACAAGTCGGGCGCCAAGCGCCTGGGCTCGGTGTGGCGCACCGTGGCCGGCGAGCAGCTGGAGCAGGCGCGGCGGACCGTCGCCGACGAGGCCGCCAAGGAGGAGTCCACACCCGGTAAGGCTTGTAGCCGCTTGTAGCGCACGCCGCGCGCAGACTCTTGGAGGCAACTCTGACGGCGACTGCGGGTCTATCAAACACAGTTGGCCGGCGTAACGGCCTTCCCTTCCTTCCCCTTCTCGCCCCGCTGTAGAGGTGGAGGGCGACTCTGTGGGCCGACACGGCCCCTGCGCGCCGCACCGTGCCAGGTGTGGCCGCGCCGCCGCGCCGCCGCGCAGAGGGGATTAACTGCGCCCCGGACACCGGCTGCGCGTGCGTTTTAAACTGGAGGCAGAATGGGGGTCAGGGCGTCTCTCTCGCACGCCCGCGCACGCCGGCCTGCGTGCACACAAAGTCCAGGCGCGGGTCGGGGCGTGCCGAGCCGTGCCGTGCCCGGCCGCGCCGTCAGGGCTGCTGCCTGCCTTTGAATGCTCACGAAATTCGCCTAAAGTTTCTAGACTGGTAAACAGGAATCTGTTGAAGTTGTTCCTCTGTCTCGGCGGGCCCCTGCCGCCCGCGCCGCCCGCTCCGCCCGTTCGGTCTGCGCGCCGCAGCGTCGTCGAGGACGCCGTGGTCCTCGTCTTTGACTCGGTCCGAAAAGAGGCACGGAGCTGCAGTGCCTGCAATGAGTTTAGGCGCACGTCATCCAACAGCGAGCGATTCCGAAAGAGGCGACGTTTCATTGCTCTCTCTCTCTTCTTCTCTCTCTCTCTCTCTCTCTCTCTCTCTCCTCTCTCTCTCTCCTCTCTCTCTCTCTCTCTCTTTCCGTCCGCACCCCCTGCGAGGCGCCCACGGACGCCTCGGATTCGGTCTGCAGCAGCAGCGTCAGCGTACCGCGGCTGCCGCGCGCCTCCTTTTATGGTGCACCCACATGGGTCTCCAGCCCTGCCAGTCACGACCAACGTTGAGCTGGGCCGGGCCGGGCCGAGTCTAGCCGGGGACGCAAAATGGGGTAAAATACCGGGAGAGAAAAATGCAAGTGCAGAGGCGTAGCGCTCTGCCGAGATGAGGACGGAGTAGGGGAAAAGGGGGGGCTTTCTGGTTAGTCCCCCCACCTCATTTCTCCCGGCGGGGGCTGCTGGTTCCCTGCCGCTCGCTGCGCGGTGGAGAAGGAGAATAACTCCCCGGCATCTTTGCAACAACGGCCGGGGAAAATGGGACTGTCATATTCCATTTGGACCGCGGGCCGCAGGATGCAGTTGGAGCGGCGCGCCGTGCCGCGCCGTGCCGCGCCGTGCCACAGCGCAGTCGAGTGCGTGATGCGGGGCCGCGCTGGGCGCGCCGGGCTGTGCAGCGGACCCTGTCAAAGAGGGACTAATGTAGCTTGAAGTAGCGGGGCGGGGCGGGCGGCGCCGGAGGAAGACTTTTGTCTGCTGGACTGGCTACTTGTTCAGAAAGTGTTCTTATTTTTACTCAGCACCGACACCCCCTTTCCGCCATTTCACACGTGTCCGTATTGCAGCGACGCTTCGACAGCGAGTTCCTTCGCGCGCTTTCAGCAGTGTCAACATCATTTAACCGTGCTGTGTGTTTCTCTCTCGCTGCGCAGTCTGCGTGTCAGACGTCCTGTCTTCCGTCCACGCCCTGTCCGTCCTCAACATCCTGCACAACGCGCTCACACTGTACAAGCGCGTGGTGGGCAGCAAGCAGCAGTGCTCGCCCAGTCAGAGGTAAGGTTGACGCCGTGCCGTTCCGAACGCGCACAGTTTCCTGCAGTGACGCGGCGCCGCGGCGGCACGGTTTTCGAGTCCGGCTCTCCGTCGAGGAGGTGCAGCTCGTTAGCGTGCAGGCCGAACCCGAGAGTCGTTGTCGCCGCTCTGTCTCTCTCGCTCCCGCCCGCGGGACGCCATGCGTGCGAGAGAGACAGAGCGACGGGACAGCCCTTGGGACGGCCGCCCCGCCGCGGCAGGCCTGGGGACCCAGCTGGAGACCCAGCCCAGCACCGCGACACGGCGGCCTGGAGGCCTGGAGGCCTGCAGGCACAGCGCTGACTGCGAACGACGTTGCCACGTTGCCACAGGTGGCGCCACTGCAGCTACCACTGCCTGCAGCTGCTGGCGGCGCGGGCACTGCTCTTCATGGTGGAGGGCGCGGCCGTGCAGCAGCAGCTCGCGCAGGAGCCGCAGCTCCGCATCCTGGCCGCGGCCCTCGACTCGACCCACGACCCCGTGAGTTTTAATAAAAGTTGGGAGGCCGAGAAGGGGGAGTGACGGCACGGCGAGGGGCAGGAATAGCTCCGGCCGTCGCCCTGTCCCTCGCACCTCTATGGACCCCGTTGGTGCGACGGAGACAGCGGTAACGGCTCTCCAGCCTGCATCCCTTCTCGCCCATCGCTGCGATAAGTGCTCGTCTCGCCGACATCGTCTCTACGGGGGCGGGCCGCTCTTACCGATTTCCTCGGATTTTCTTGTCGAAATCGCGGAGAGGCGACTTACTTTCAAAAGTGGACTTTGCCGCGCTTCGGTCTGACCCCCTTGTCTCTGTCGGCAGCAACTGCTGGTGCTGGTGCTGCAAATCGTGGCCACGCTGGCGCTGGAGCCGGCCAACCACCGCGCCCTGGTGGAGCAGGGCCTGCCGGACGTGCTGTCGCAGCTGCTGCTGCCCTCGGACGAGTGGTACTACACCAACCACTCCACCAAGTACGCGCGCTTCGTCAAGCACCACGCGGCGCGCGCCCTCGTCTACCTCGGCCTGCAGCACCGCGTCAACCTCCGCTTCTCCGTCTACGACATCATCACGGGTCAGTCCACTGGCAGCAGCCGTGCCGCGAGCCGCGCGCCGCCACGGTCGCCGACTCCGTGGAGCGCCCGCGCGTCGCGGGGTAGGCCACCCGTTGAGCACCGGGACGTTGCGTGGCCTACCTTGCCGGGCGCTCTGTCTGTCTGTTTGCCTGTCTGTTTCTTGGGTACTTACCCCCAGGACTGGGACTCCGGGCACCACGACTGTGACCCGCCTGCCCTTCCCCCTCCCACGCCCCCCCCCCCGCGGCCACCCTTGCCGATTTTAATTTGCAATAACGCCCCGGTGGCCCAGCGGCAACGAGATGACGAGGCGCACCGCGTCTTCCGTTCACCAGAAAGAAAGGCCGACCAGGGCAGCCGGCAGCTAAGGGCACCAAGGGCTCCCCCCCTCCCCTATCTCATCAGCGCAGGAATCAGTCTGTGGCTTCGGCTGCTTCGGCGCCGCGCTGCGCCCCCGCTCTACGCCCCCCGCGCCCCCGCGCCCCCCGCGCTCTCGGCCCTCAGCCTTGCAGGCCTTGCGGGTGTTTCATTACAGCGAGTAAGTGGCGGTCATAAATAACTTCTTCAGCAGCGGTCGCCATCTGCAGATGCGCCCTTTTGAGCCCAGGAGTGGGCGGGCGGGGCCGTTCTCAAATAGATTAATTCATTTTTTTCATGTTGTTGTTTTTGTTTTTAAAGCTTTCTCTCTCTTTTTCTCTTCAGCCGAGGAGGCGCCGCCGCCCACGCCGCTGACAGAGTCGCTGGAGGACACGTACATCACGCAGACGTCCGCGCCGCCCAACATCGTCGTGGACAAGGACACGGGCAAGATCCTGGGGCTGTCTGTGGAGGGCGCGGTGCTGTACATGCTCAAGGCCTTCGAGGTGGGTCCTCCCTCGGGTCCTCCCTCGGGTCCCCCCGCCTGTCCGTCGTCCGTCTCGCCGTCCTTGTTTGTCACCCTCCGCGGTCTGTCCGTCTCTGTCTAATTGCTGACTTTGAGCCGGAAGCGGTTTTGCGAAGAAGTCATTATCCGAAAGTTTTGAGGGGGAGCACAGCAGCGAGCAGCGAGGCGGGCCGTGGCTTCGCTGTTGTTCCGACAGAAATCGTGATGGAGCCGGGCCCGTGGCGGACCGCCCCGCCCCGCCCCGCCCCGCCCCGCCTTGCGCCGCGCTCGTCTTGTCCAATCTCGGGCTGCTCCCGCTCGGCTGACTCGCCGTGCCGCTCTTGTTGCTCCTTTATCATTGCCCTCCACTTTCACCGTGCCCTAGTTACCCCCTTTCACCTGTCTGTCTGTCTGTCTGTCTGTCTGTCTGTCTGTCTGTCTGTCTGTCTGTCTGTCTGTCTGTCTGTCTGTCTGTCTGTCTGTCTCTGTCTGTCTGTCTGTCTGTCTGTCTGTCTGTCTGTCTGTCTGTCTGTCTGGCTGTCTGTCTGTCTGTCTGTTTGTCTGGCAGTCTGTCTGTCTCTGTCTATCTGTCCGACCGTCCTCTGTCTCACACTCACACACACTCACACGCCCCATTTGGTGTTGCAGGCGTCCCTCACGCAGACCGCGGCCACCACCAACACGGCCACGACCTCCATGGCCAACTCGACGGAGATGTCGACGTTGCAGTGGGTCGTCAGCGGCACCAGCTACCACCGCAGTGAGTGTCCGGACGAGGGTTGTTCGGCTGGAATTAAACGCGGCGGCTCTCCGAGGGGAGAGGGGGGGATTTGAACCACAAAATGTGGGTTCCGCGGCGCTCGCGCTAACCCACGCGGCCGTGACGTTGCAGACCTCGCCGGCGCGGCGGCGCTCCGCGGCCGAGGCGCGGACACCAAGGGCGACCCCTGCTCGCCGCTGTTCGTGCAGACGCTGCTGGCGTGCTTCCCCTCCGTCGTGTCCCCCGTCGTGCTGGTGCGCATGCTGCTGCACCGCCTGCTCACCACGGCCGCGCCGCTGCAGCGCTGGAAGTCGTGCGCGTCCAGGTCGTCGTTCGCGTCGGCCTCGGTGCACGACGCGCCGCGGTCGCCGCGGAGCAGGGCGTCGTCCACCGACACCGAGCCGTCCTCGCTGCGGAAAAGGAGGAAGGTGGGCACTGCGCCGCACTACGCCACACTGCGCACAGTGGGCCAGAAGACCGGAGGGAGCGACTCTGGAGCTAAAAACGCGCGAAGAGCTTCGGCCGCCGGCGCCGGTCTTCTGGCCCACTGTACGGCGGGACGGCGCTGAGGCTCTCGCCGGCGACTGCGTTTCTCACACTCGTCCTCGCAGGTGAACCTGACGGTGGACTGCTCCGGCCTGGCCAACGACCCGGCGCCGCTGGCCATGACGGCCATGACGGCCATGACGGCCATGCCCGCGCCGGGGGACGACGTCCACTGCCCCGTGCAGCCCGCCACCCTGGCCGCCGCGCTGCGCTCCAGGCAGCTCCAGCAGCAGCAGCAGCCGCAGCAGCAGCAGGTACGGTCCGGAAGGGCGCGTGACGGCGGCGGAGACCCCGCCCGTCGTCTCACTTCCGATCGTCGGCGACGAGGTCGTCGCGTCGCGATGCCCCCTCCCCCCGCCAGAGCGAGCCTTGGAGCAAGAGCGCGTGAGCCGTACGAGTACACACGTCACCAGCAGCCTCCGGTGTGAAGCCACCCACTGTAGTCGCCTGCCTTGCTTTCGGTTGAGTCCTCACGGCGATCTCGCTCCCTGGCTCCCTCTGGCGCGGGGCAGGCCCGCCGCCCCGACCTCGACGACGACACCGCACAATGAGAACCTAGAGTGGACTTGATGCTCTAGCCGCACTTACTATCCCCTAGTTGAGTCCAGGTATCGTGTATCGTGCCCCGCATGAGTGTCCAGCGCACCGTATCACCAGGTATCACGTATCTCAACACTGCTCGTTGCACGGATCGTCCAACTCGTTATGCCCGCCCCACAGTGGGTCAGAAGACCGGTGGAGGCGGCCAAAACTCTAGACGCGTTTTGAGCTCCAGGGTCGTTAAAATAGACCCGAAATGAACGTGTGACCCTACCTATGGATTGCTTCTCGAGTGAGGAATCCATTGGTGGGGTCACACGTTCGGTTCGAGTCCCATTTAACGACTCGAGTTTCGTCCGCCTGCGCCGGTCTTCTGGCCCCTCAGTGGGCCCCTCCTCTCCCCCTCGCATGCACAGCCCTCCCCCTCCCGGACGGCCTCATCGTCGCGGTGGTCCGCGGCCTAACTGCCCCGACCGCCGCCACGGCGCGGCACGTTAGCGCCATTCTTCATCCCACGTCGCTCCCGGAAATGGTTTCGTAATTCCCGGCGCACTAATCTGGACTGCTTTAAAAGGGCGGCACATTAACTTGTTGCACCGCACGATGGCGATGGTGCCGCCCCGCGGCGCAGCGCGCAGCGCAGCCAAACGAGTCGACCAAAACAGCAAACGGGGGAACGGCCGCCGCCGGGCCGCCAGGCCGCCATGGTCACGGTAGCTGCACTTGTTTTGCACGCCGCAATCCGGGCGCTTCGATTTGAATTGAGGTGCAGCACGGGCAAGCGTAAGCCAGGCGGTGAGTGTGTGTGTGTGTGTGTGTGTGCGTGCCGCCTGGCGGGCATTACTGGGATTACACTAACGCGCTGCACCGGGGCGAGGCGGCGAGGCAGCGAGGCCGGGCGAGGCATTGGGGTTGGGGGCGGGCGGCCCGGCCCTGAGCACTCGGTGGACTCGGCGCCGGTGAAGGGAGTGGGGTGGGGTCCGTAACCTCCAGGAATGCTGCCGCCGCCGCGCACTGCCGCCCGCCCGGCCACCGCGGCCCACCCGAAACTTGCTGAAAGAGATCCTGTCGGGGAAGACACAAAGTCCCACGCCCAAGTCCGAGGCGGGGCGGGGCGGGGCGGGGCCCTCCCCTGCCCCAGCCGGCCGTCCGGTCCCGGCGAAGTACCGCCACCCTCACAAGGACCGGGGAGTTTGTTGGCAGGGCGTCGCGTCGCTACGCGTCGCCACGCCACTGCCAGTCCCTTTGTGGGTCGCTTCACTCTGCTTCACTCTGCAGTGCGGCCGTCGGGGCCGTCCTCGCCACGCCGTCACTCGATCGGAGCGGTGCGGAGCGCGGAGCAGTGGCCGGCTCGCTGTTCGCCCCCGCGAACCTGATTGCCAGTTTTTCTCGACCCCGTCCCCCCCCGGCCTCCGGTCCCCTCCTCGCCGGCCTCTTGGGAGTCACTGCTGGCGGCTGGCGGTCCTTCGGCCACGGCACTAGCCGGAGTCGAGCCGAGCGGGAGTCCTCCGGCGAGCTAGTTAGCTGTTTAGAGTGGCGAGGCAACTCAGAGTGGCAACTCCTGATGAAGATCCTTCTTCTCTTCGATCCTTTTGCTGCGCAGCCCAGGACGTCCTACTCCCTCCTCTCCGCTCCCCCGCCACCCCCGCCGCAACCCCGCGCCGCGGACCGCGCGGACCACCCGCAACCCCGCACCGCGGACCCCAGCTTGCTGGGCCACGGCGCGGGCCTCGCGGGGCTCGCGGGGTACACGGGCCACGCAGGCCACTCGAGCCACGCGGCGGCGCACAGCGTGGGGCTGGCCATGGAGCCCGCCCTGGCCATGCAGTCGACCTTGTTCGCCTTCTCACACCTTCTGGTATAAAGCACTGTTTAAAAACAAACCCGTTTTCTCGCTTTTTTGTGTGAAAAAGAAACCAAGGCACTTTTTTTGCAAAATGTTTTAACAGTGCTCTTCTCTCCTTCTTGCTCTATTCGCTTTCCTTTCCTTCCTGACTTCACTAACATTTCTCCAGTTTTCCTTTTCTTTCTGACATGCGATGTTGCCTAGTGCATTTTCCTAGTACTTTCAATCCTTTGGTTCCTTAGATGAGCTGTTTTGCGTAGATTTTTACGTGTAGTTTTGTGCCTGTGTTTGTGTAGTGATCGTGTACCGTTAGTTCAATGTTCATTCGGGTCAGCATTTCGTTCAATTTTTGTTCTATTTAACATTTTCTCAGTCAAACCTCTTTCGCATCCGAGTACAACTCATTTAATTCACCAAGTTGTCTGGCTTCAAAATGACGTCTCGTGGACAACTTAGTGACTCAGTGTTGCACTTTACGATCCGCTATCTGTGCGCATGGTCGGCGCGGTCGGCGCCGCCAAGTTGTGTGCTGGTGACGGCGCGTCTCTGCCCGCAGGCTGCGCAGACGCAGGCGCCGGACAGCAGGCTGGGGTCGCTGGTGCCGCGGGACTCCGGCAGCTCGGCCGCGGGGCTGGGCATCGAGCCCGCCATGCAGAGCACGCTGTACGCCTTCTCGCACCTGCTGCGCAACGCGGCCTCCAGGGAGAGCCTCGCCTCCGCGCCGTCGTCCGTGTCCCCGCCCCCGGGCTCGCCCGGCCTGGGGGCGGGGGGTCTGGGGGCCGGGCTGGGGGCGGGCCTGCTGCTGCCCAACTTCACCCTCCACCTGCACCACAAGCCGAGGGCGTCCTTCAGGTAGGTGCCGCGTGGGCCGGCGTGCCGGCGAGGGTCGTGCTCGCCGCACTGGCGATCATGATGACGATCAAGTCGACGACGGGGTCCTCCGAGTGCGCGCGCGCGTTCTGCCAGCGTTCCGGCCGGCCGTTGCAGTGGCGCTGCCTGGCCGCTGCAGTGGCGCTGCCTGGACCTAACCTAACCTGCGTGGGTTGTGCAGTTTGTCCGCGTGCCGCCTCACTGCGCCGCTGCAGCACTGGAAGCCCCGATCCAAGTCTCAGGCCAACATTGCCTGCAACGTGGACACTGACAGCTTGGTGGTACCCGACAATTTGTACGTCCAGGGTCAGAGCTAACTCCCTTACACTCTATGTCACCCGAGCCCCCTGGCACTCGCCCCGCGGCACCCCGTCGTGTCGGCACAGTACTCCACCTGCAGCCTGCAGGGTGGCCCGCGGCCCGGGGGCACGCTGTCGAGGGCGTCGTCGAGGGCCGTCGAGGACGCCGTCGAGGACGCCGTCGAGGACGCCGTCACCATGCTGTCCCGCCGGCATGGCTGTACACCGGGCTTGCCTACCACCACGGCGTCACAGCTTGGCGCGGCAGCCCCGCGTGACGCTTTGTCAGAGCAGCCTGATTCTGAAGTCGTTTCGTCCCTTTGTCCCTCTTGCCCTCGCGGGGCGTTAGGGCGCGAGAGAGACAGAGCGACCAAGCGACTCTTCGGAATGGCTCGGCAGGACGGCATGACTGCCGTGTACTCCCGGTTCCGTGGGCACCCTGTGTTGTCTGGCTCACACTTTAGGGCAAGAAGGGGTCGAGAAATGGAAACAGCCTGTTCATTTTCTCACACCCAGAAAAATAAACGAATTTCACAAGACACCTTGTCTGTAGAGGGCTCCGCGGTGCAGATTGAGCAAGAACTGGACTTGTCTCTAATCTCCACCCGGCTGTACCCGAAGTCCGGAGCTGGACCCAAATTGTTTTTTCTGGGCGAACCGTACCCTTTCTTCTTGCACCGGATTTGCCTTACTGTATTAGGTAGTCGGACGCGGTCTGTGCCTCGGCCACTCTCCACGTCTCTGAGTAGATCTGTGTATTGAACGCTAAGTGTTGTGACGTAAGGGAGGCTGCCAGTTCTCCTTAGCCTAGTCGGCACACCGTGACTAGTTCTAGACAGGCATGCTGGGAGTCGGGCATGCTCTGCTAACAAGCTCGTCTTGCCAACCAAGTCACAAAATGCACTGTCGGTGTCGTGTCCCCCTTGCACGCAGACTAATGTGGCTCAGTTCAAATGTGACAGCTATTGTTCGCCGGAGAGCAGTTTCGGCGCCCTGCACACGGGACCTCAGAGAGATCCCTCACGCCCAACTGTTAAAAACTGAGCCAGCTAAACAATGTAGCAGTGTCGTATTAAAGACTCGTGCCACTCTCCGGCCGTTTCTCTGCAGAGCGTCTTCGCTTGGAAATGAACGCTCACATTAAAGCAACAGCACAAACATTAGGGAAGTTGAGTACTTAAATGTGTCACTTGCCGCCTGTGTGTTCCGTCACCGCCTGGGGCAGCCCTGGCAGCCCTTGCCGTCGCGAGAAGTCAAAGTCCCGATGAAAACAAACAACTGAGCTCTAGTTTGGTAGTCGTCGAGACTTTGCCTGATCCCACCTGAAGGCTGAAGGTCTGCCTCCACTCACGTCGTGTGCCTCACGAGGTTCCAAACAGACTCACTGCACCTGTTGGGGCTCCCTGCTGGGCCTGCTGAGCCTGCTGCATGAGGGATGTCGATGTGTAGGGCCACCGTGCGTCGAGTACCCTGTAACGTCAACAGTTCCTTGAGAATGCCGTCACCAATACTGCTGCTTCACGAGATCAGCGTCGGCTTCTCGTGGCCGCTGAAGCCCACGATGACCTCGATGTGACCTTGGCCGACCTTGACCCAGTTTGTGACCTTGACCCACTTCCAGGTTCTCTACGCTGCGGCAGTCCAACAAGCGGCGCTCCAAGTCCCACGCCAACATCGCCAAGGCCGTCCACAAGGACACTCCCGAGCAGGAGATCCTCGCCTTTCAGAAGCAACTGCAAAACCTACCCGATTTCGACTCCCCCGAGCACCCGACTGGAGGGACGGTAAGCACAATCGGAATCTGGGGGAACAAAAAATGAGTTTCCGTTTTCACCAATTTATGAATGGCCAACATCAGCAAGCACTTATGAGAGGCTCTCGCCGCGACTGTCGGTCGCAGGCTTCCTCCGACCCGGTGACGGCGGCGGCCGAGTTCCTGGCCAACAGGCCGTACCTGCGGCCGCGGTCGCGGTCCATGCCGCGGGTCACCTACGAGTCGTCGCGCTACCTGACGCTGCCCGAGGCCGCGCCCTGGCCGTCGTCGGGGGGCTCGCTCCGCCTGCCCCGCGGCCGGTCCGCGGGTGCCCTGGGCGGCGCGGGCATCTTCGGCGGGGGCGCGTTCGGGCTGGCCGGCAGCATGGCGCCCGGCGGCGCCCTGGCCGGCGTCGTCCACGCCACCAGCTCGCCCGCCACCACGCCCATGGAGGAGAACAAGGGCACCGGCGTGGTGGCGGCCGGCCCGCCGCCCCCGACCACCGCCACGCCCGCCGTGCTGTCCTGCGCGCCCAACTCCAGGAGGTCCTCGCTGTCGCCGTCGGACCGGGGCCGCCGCAGGGACTCCCCCGCCTGCCTGCTGGTGGAGGTGCCGCCATGGCAGCGCTCCGTGCTCACCCTGCTCGAGGTAGGTGCCGCCGTCTTGACGGTCTTGTCGCCGGCGCCATGGCCGCCAAGAACGCCGCAGTCCGACACGTTCTCCTTGTCCTCCAGGAGTGGATGCGCGAGTCGCGCGTGGAGCTGGAGCGCAACGCCCCGCTGTGCAGGGAGGTGCGCGACTTCCAGGCCAAGGTGCAGGCGTGCGGCCCGCCCTACCAGCAGTGGTGCGCCGAGCTGCGGGCAGAGTTCCCGGCACTGGTGAGTCACTCCCCCCTCCCCTTTCCCCCGCCCCATTCTCCGAAAATTCTGTTTGACTTTGACACCCGCTGTGTTCCTCGCAGGCGAAGGACCCCGACCACGAGGACGAGGAGGACAAGGAGAGCACCAACCGGCAGTACTGCCACGTAAGTGGAGGCTTCATTTTTTACCCTTATTGGTGCCGCCTTTTCAGACGGGGTGCCCCCTCGCCTGCTCTCGTTCTCTCCGGCACCGCCTTTCAGACGGGCTTTCAGGCGTGCATTCAACGGGGCTTTCGGCATTCAGCCGTCTTTCGGATGGGCTTTTACGGGGGGTTTCGGATAGATTCCGTATGGGAATTTATCCGAGCTTCCGGAGCTAGCGCTGCTTGCCAGCACTGTTTACAGTGCCCTTGGTTGTAGCCCTAATTGAGTCCGAGCGATGAAGAATTGCAGTTGAATTTAAAGCCGCTCGGCCGGGCCGATCCGAGGCCGCGGCTGTGCAGATGTTCGGTTATGTCTGTGTGTCTGCGAGATGAGCTGCTTGGCCCTGCCGGCACCGCGCTCCACCACGCCGATTACTCTGCTGAGGTAAATATTTGATCCCGGCTAGCTGCCTCTGTATTTGTCGGCCAGAGGTTCCCTCCCCGCTAATTCCTTGCTCCCCTTACCGGGCCCCGCCTCGCCCAGCCCTGCCGCGCTCATCCGCAAATTAGACTTAATGATTTGCTCTTTCTTGGGGGCCGTAAGAGGATTAATGACCATCGGCCTCGCCGCGCATCGCCGCGTGCAGCGGCGCGGAAAGTATTGGTTTTCAATTTTCCTCCGCCTCTAATTTCGTCCCGGGATTTATTTCCTTTTCCGCGGCGTACCACCGCGCCTCCGGCCGGCATTGGCTTCGCCCTGCTCCGCCCTGCCTCGGCCTCTCGCGCTTTTCCGCTTTTCCCCGGGGGCGAAACCGAGAAAATATTGTTGGAGCGACTTGGCGCTTGACAATGCGAGCCACGGGGACAGCGCACAGTGGGCCAGAAGGCCGGCGGAGGCGGCCAAAACTCTAGACGCGTTTTGAGCTCCAGAGTCGCTAAACAGGCCTCGAACCGAACGTGTGACCCCACTAATGGAATGCTCTCCGGACGAGGAATCCATTGGTGGGGTCACACGTTCGGTTCGAGGCCTCTTTAGCGACTCTGGAGCTCAAAACGCGTCTATAGTTTTGGCCGCCTCCGCCGGCCTTCTGGCCCACTGTGCGGCGGGACGGCGGCAGCGCAGAGGCGGCAGCGGCGCGGCAGCGCGACCCCATCCCGATGTTGCTAAAAGGGCAGCTTGAGTCCGCATTGAGACGCCCGGGGTAGCGGGGGAGTGGGGGCGGGGAGCGGGAGGGGGACCTGGTGCTGCATGCGAAGAACAAATATTTGCGGAAAGCTGGTGTGCCCGGGCGGCCGGGATGGAGAATGGAGGGAGAGGGAGAGAGAGAGAGAGAGAGGAGACGCGCTGCGCTAGCGCTGCGCCGAGCCGAGCGTGGGCGGGCTGGGCCGGGCCAGACGCGGCGCAGCGCGGCGAGCCGAGCAGACGACGCACCGATTCCGCTTTGGCGCCGATGCGACCTGCGAGGCGCTGCGCGAGGCGATGCCGTCGCGGCATCATCATCGCGTCCTCTATGACGGCGGTGAGGCGGTGGCGCTGCGCCGTGGCGTTGCGGGAGGAAGGCCGGGGCTTCTAATGAAAGGCCCACTGCCTGCCGCCGTCGTTAGCTCGGCGCTCTCCGCCCGCTCCGCCTCTCTCTCACTGTCCCGCTCTCGCAGTCAGCTCCAATCAAAAGGGCTGTTGCGTCTCCGCTGCGGAGGGCTGACGGCCAGACTAACTGTCTCTCTCCGGCCGGCGCGCGGGCCCCGCTCAGAGCAGCCCTGTTCTGCACCCGGGCGCCTGGTCGCCGCCAACGACTCCAGGACCGAGGCCCGGGGGCGTTACTTTGATCCTATTTTATAGGCAGGGCACTGGAGCAGCAGGGCGGGCGGCGTCGAGTGCCTCGACAGGGGAAGGAAGAGGGGAGAGAGAGAGAGAGAGGGCAAACACGTGTGCAGATTGCCTGCCAAGGACCGGCACCGGGAGGGAAGATATATTTTGCAAAACAAACTCTCTGCAAAACAAACCCGCGGGACTACTTCAAATCGAGGCGACAAAACGCGGCGCATTTTTCAGCTGCCGTGTCGCCTTTATCTGGGTCTAGCGACGTTTAAAACCTGGCAAGACTTCCTCATCCTTTTTTGGCGGCGGAGCGAGGCGTTTAGCAAGTGCCCATCTTTTCTTGGCTGGGTTTTTCTGCCCACGCGCCCGGCTGTCGCTCTTCGACCCCGGCGGCACTTAAATGTCATGCGCGTACCTTTTTTCCTGTTGCCGCCTTATTTCGAGACTTTGTCGCTTTCCTGGAAAGATGTGGTCACCGCCAGAGGTGCCCCGTGGCCCAGCCCGGCACAGCCCACCTGAGGCCCTGGTGGCGGCCGGTGGGGCCAGAGGCAGCCAGAGGCCGGGAAGCGGGGCGCCGCGGATCTGGAGGTGCGCTTGGCTTCGCTTGGCTTCGCTTGGCCGCGTCGTGGATGCTGTGTTGTTGTTTACACCTCGCTGTAAACGCGAGTAAACACGGCCCGCCGTGCCGCGTGCGCCGCGTGCGCCGCGTGCGCTCAGTGAGGTGCGTTTGAATGAATACACGGCCATCAACTCAATCCCGTTTTCTGCCCGCGGCGCCGCTGGTTCGACTCCCGGCGTCGGCGCCGCTATTTCCCGCGCAGAGCCCCCGCCGCCCCTCGAAGGGCCCCACCGCCGCAGCCGACCGAGGGAATTTGGTTAGCCCTGGTTGGCTGTGCCTTGCCTTGCTGTACGGTGGCCGGCCCATTGACTTGGGTAATTACTTCATCAGGCTTTACTCCAGCCAGGCATCGCCTTATTCAATTTCCCGCCGCCGGGCCGGGCCGGGCCGGGAAGGAGCGAGGCGGGGCGGGAAGGAGCGGGGCGCGGCGAGGCAGGGCGGGGCGTCCTCTATCGACTGCCGGCTAACAAGAAGATCGAGCCAGACTGTCCCGGACTGTCCTTAGGTATGCATGGGGAGCGCGCCGCGGGCTGTCCGGGGGCGGCTGTCCGGGCTTTCCGGGTGCCTCGTTACCGCTCGGGGCTGGGACATGCTAATCAGGCCCAGGCCGGGTGGGCGCGGCGTGCCAGGGCGTGCCGGAGTGCCGGGGTGCGTTCAGTGAGTTCAGTCAGTCGCCGCGGGCCGCAGGAATCGGCCGGATTGGTCCGAGGATGACTACCAGGGCCCTGATGGGCCTTCGGCAAGCCTGGCGGCAAGCCTGACGGTGCGGCGGGGCTGCGGAAACTCTGACGAGTGGAGTGAGTGGTCGCCGGCCGCCCGGCCGGGCCGGGCAGGACCGCGGTTCGAGTCAAAGTCCGAGCCGGTCCGAGCACAACGCGCTCTTGCTCAACGTAGATGGGCCGTTTGCCTGGCCTCATTTCCGACACGCGCTGGTATCGTCGCGAAAATCGACTGACACTTACGTTTTTGGACATGCCTGGATTTCGGTCTCTAAATACTCGCCCTCGTGGCGTCCTGAAGGTGTTTGCATGTGTGTTTGTGTTTGTGAGTGTGTGTGTGTGTGTGTGTGTGTGTGTGTGTGTGTGTGTGTGTGTGTGTGTGTGTGTGTGGCACTATCGATGTGGATCGCAGCCCTGCTAGCAGCGTGCCATGCTTTTAAGGTAAACCCCCCCGCGATGTATGCCCGGCCATGCCCGGCCAGGCCCGGCCAGGCCCGGCAGACGCTGGCCGTATAAGTCTGAGGCGCGTGTTTGTCCGTCCGTGCCTGCTGCTAAAACACCAGAGAGAGACGGACGGACAGACAGACGGACAGAGTGCCGCGCACGCCAAGCAGATCGCTGACACGTCCCGTCGGAGCGACAAGACAGCAGCCGGCTGGGGGGAGGGGGACGGGGGTTTGGGTTCACGCCCCCGACACCCCACATCCCCACCCCCTGTCCCTTGCTGCGCCACACGCTTGATCATCGTCCCTAAGGCTGGCCATGGAAAGCCGAGGTGTCTTCCTCGGATTGAACGTGGGGGGGGGGGGGAGAAGGGGGGCGCAGGGACCAGGGAGGGGGAGGGGCCGGCGGCTGCCCTGCCGGCCGGCCGGTGTGCCGCGGCACCGCGGTGTGGCGTGGCGGCGTGGCGGCGGCGTGGCCGGTCAGTTGGCTTGCTACTCGCGGACGGCTCGGACCCACGGACCCGCCAGACCGGCGTCGCGCAGCTTGGCGTCGCGAGTCCCACGACGACGAGAAACCGCGAGCCGGACGGACGGACAGACGGACCGCGCGCGTCGCGTCGCTCTTGAACGTCAAGCGGAGTGTGTGCACAAGGAGGATCGGCTTGCAGTGCAGTGGTTGTGTGTGGCGTGCATGATGTCCCCGCGGGCCCGGTCCGCCCCGCGCCCCGCGTAGTGTCGTGATAGTGAACCCCCTTCGGCGGCCTCGGCCCCGCTTTTCGGCAGTGTAAGTCCCGCCGCGCCAGCGCGCCACGCCGCATCATCGGAGGCCTCGGCTCGGCACCTCTGTCTGCTCTCCGTATCCTCGCAATGAAGACCTCGTTGATAGCGGCAGCTTTAGCGTGCTGCCGACAGCGCGCCGGCCGGCCTGGCAGTGCACTGGGCCTGGCCAGCGACGGGCTCCATGCCCGGCCAGGCCATGCCGGCCAGGCCTGCGACTTGCCGCGTTACTTGCCTCTAGAAATAGCTCCTGGCGGTGCAGGCCTAAGGCCTAAGGCGGCCTAAAGCGGCCTCAGCGAGTTAGCGGTGACCTCTCAAATATTGGAACCGGAACCCGCAGAACCCACACTCGTATCCCCGTATTGTCGGAGCGAGGACGTCATCGCCGTCATCGCGAAAGCATGACGCGATCCGCCAAATTTGAAGTCCGATGCCAAAGTGTTCTCGGAAAGGACTGTTGCACATTTGGGAAGGCGCGCCCGCTCGGCACACACGCCCGAAGACACACAGGCGCACGCACGCACAGGCTCACGCACGTACACACGCACACACACACACACACACACACCCCCTAAGATACACTCACTGCTGTAGCTCAAACACGCTCATCCTAGAGGGCCTCCGTCGCGCCTGAAGGAATGCCGA